TCTGCACTTTTTGTAGAAACTCTGTATTGCACTGATCAGGGGTGCTAGGATGTTTTTCCCTGCCAAGCAGTCCCAGAGCTTGTTCCAGGGTACCTTGTCAAATGCCTTTTCCAGATCCAAAAAACATAAGTGCATCTCACTCTTATATTCCAGGGCTTTTTCACTCATCTGTCTCAGTGTGAAGATAAGGTCTTGAGTACTTCGGTTTGCTCTGAAGCCGCATTGGGCCTCGTCCAGCTGTGGCTCTACCAGACTTCTAAGTCTCTGCTCAAGAATTCGAGAGTAACTTTTACCGGGAACGCTGAGGAGGGATATGCCTCTGTGGTTTTCACATTGTCTGTTATCACCTTTTTTAAATATAGGTATAATGATGGCAATCTCCCAATCTTTTGGTATAGTTTTGCTACACCAGGCTGCCTGGAGAACCTTCAGTAGAAGGCGCTCACCTTCGACTCCCATATATTTGACCATCTCTGGTGTTATACCATCATGACCTGCTGCTTTTCCCAGCTTAATCTTCTCAATAGCTGCCTTCAATTCTTCCATCCTGATGTTATCTTCCCCATGGTTGAATTCCTTCTCAGCAGTGAGGTCCATTATTTCTGGGTCATGACTTCCCTAAGCGCCGAGGAGCTCTGAGAAGTATTCTTTCCATCTGCCCATGATATCATTTGTAGAAGTAAGCAGAGCCCCTTCCTTGTCTTTTATGAATTTAAGTGGGCACTCTTTCTCCTTCCTCATGTTCTTAAGGGTCTTGTAGAACAGTTTTTGGTTTTCTCTTGCATTCTTTTCTAACTTTTCTCCAAACTCTTCCCATGATTTCTGTTTTGCTTTAAGCATAATATTTTTGGTCTCTGTTCTGAGTGACACATATTGTTTATATTTTTCTATTTCTTCAGCTGTGTTCCTGGCTGCCAGGTATTGCTTCCATGCCCTTTTCTTTTCTCCTATTTTTAATTTGACTTCTTCTGTCCACCAAGGTGTCCTGTGTCCCCGCCTTCCACTTGGGACTTCACCACATGCTTCTACTGCAGCTGCTGTGAGGATATTCTTGAATCTGCACCAGAGGGTTTCAGTGTCCTCTGATGATTCTTCTTCAGTTCCTATTGCTTTCACTATAAGCTCCTGGTATCTAGCCTTAATATCTGGCTCTCTTAGCTTGTATGCTTTAATCCTCATCCCTTCTTGGTTGCTTGGTTTCTTGCATAGTTGTCGGTGTTGCCTTGTTGGAGCAGTTCTTTCAGTTGTTCTCTTTATTGTGACCAGATAGTGGTCACTTCCAATCTCTGGTCCTCTCATGACTCTGGCATCTCTCACAAACTTGAATGAACTTTTCCTAACTATGGCGTAGTCAATGATGGATTTTTCATTCTTTGAAGGTTCACATCTTGTGTATGCATGTATACGCTTGAGGGGAATTTTGTGTTTGTAATGACAAGGTTCTGTTCCCTGCAGAATCTGAGAAGTCGCTTGCCATTATCATTCAAAACACCTTCACCATATCTCCCGATCACTCCACCCCATCTAGAGTGATCATTTCCTACTCTGGCATTTAGATCTCCTAGGAGGATAATTTCATCGTGACAGTCATCTATGGTCCTTTGGAGCAGTTCAAAGAATTCTTCTTTAACATCTACTCGCTCATCTTCATTTGGCCCGTACACAATGACAAAATTGACAATTTTATCTTCTTCTTTCAGATCTAACACCATTATTCGCTCTGAGATGAATTTCCATCCCTTGATGTTACTAACTTGATTCCTGGACACAATACAGCCAACACCTCCCTTGGCTCTCTCCGTCATAGGGACACCACTGTAGAGCAGCATACTTCCATCGTGATCTGTGATTCCTTGCCCCTTTTTCTTGGTTTCAGTCAGAGCCAAGACTCCTAATTTTGCTTTCCTCATCTCCCCTACTAACTCGTTTTCCTTTCCGTTAATGCCTCTTATATTCCATGTTCCATAAATCGTAGTCCGTAAGCCATGCCAGTTCGTCGCCGTTAAGATCCGTCCGGTTTTCTCTCTGTAGTTACTTGTAATCGTGGTTTAAGGCAAACAGGTGATTGGCCTGTTGTGCCTTTGCATGGTGGAGGGGCTGCCTCCTTGCGGCCTCCATGCAGGCCGTCTGGCTGATTCACGGTTACCCACTACTTCCGGAGACGCATGAAGCACTCAGGTTCAGCCAGACCCTCCTCCTTTTACAGCCGGGCTTGGGACCGGTCTTAGCGGAGTTCTGTCCCCTATACCACAAACATTTATTTATGCCGATGTCTACAGTCTGTCACCTATACCACAAACATTTATTTATCCTGATGTCTACAGTCTGTCTGTCACCTATACCACAAACATTTATTTATCCTGATGTCTACAGTCTGTCTGTCACCTATACCACAAACATTTATTTATCCTGATGTCTACAGTCTGTCTGTCACCTATACCACAAACATTTATTTATCCTGATGTCTACAGTCTGTCTGTCACATGTACCACCAACACTTATTTATCTTGATGTCTGTCTACAGTCTGTCACCTATACCCCCAAAAGTCATTTATCTTGATGTCTGTCTAGTCTGTCACCTGTACCCCCAAAAGTCATTTATCCTGATGTCTACAGTCTGTCTGTCACCTGTACCACCAACAGTTATTTATCCTAAAGTCTGTCTACAGTCTGTCTGTCACCTGTACCCCCAAAAGTTATTTATCTTGATGTCTGTCTACAGTCTGTCTGTCACCTGTTCCATCAACAGTTATTTATCCTGATGTCTGTCTGCAGTGTGTCTGTCACCTGTTCCATCAACAGTTATTTATCCTGTCTGTCTGTCACCTGTTCCATCAACAGTTATTTATCCTGTCTGTCTGTCACCTGTTCCATCAACAGTTATTTATCCTGTCTGTCTGTCACCTGTTCCATCAACAGTTATTTATCCTGATGTCTGTCTGCAGTTTATCTGTCACCACCAACATTGATGAGGTAGCTAGTCATATGCCAGCAAATGAGACAGCCAGTCTCATAACAATGAGGTAGCCAGTCTCACAGTAGAAATGAGGTAGCCAGTCTCACACTTGGAATGAGGTAGCCAGTCTCACACTAGGAATGAGGCAGCCAGTCTCACACTAGGAATGTGGTAGCCAGTCTCACACTAGGAATGAGGTAGCCAGTCTCACACTAGGAATATGGTAGCTAGTCTCACACTAGGAATGGGGTAGCCAGTCTCAAACAAGGAATGGGGTAGCCAGTCTCACACTAGGAATGAGGTAGCCAGTCTCACACTAGGAATATGGTAGCTAGTCTCACACTAGGAATGGGGTAGCCAGTCTCAAACAAGGAATGGGGTAGCCAGTCTCACACTAGGAATGAGGTAGCCAGTCTCACACTAAGAATGAGGTAGCCAGTCTCACACTAGGAATGAGGTAGCCTGTCTCACACTAGGAATGGGGCAGCCAGTTGTACATAAAGGATTAATTAGGCAGTCTCGCCCAACAATGAGGTACCCAGTCTCACACAACAATGAGGAAGCCATTCACACAAAATAATGAGGTAGTCAGTATCACATAAAAGAATGAGGTAGCTGGTCTTACAGTAGGGATTAGGTAGCTAATCTGACACAAAACGATGAGGTCGCCAGTCTCACAAAAGGATGTGGTAGCCAGTCACACACAGACACAAAAGAATAAGGTAGCCACTGTCACAAGAAAGAATGAGGTAGCTGGTCTCACAATAGGGATGAGGTAGCCGGTCCCACAATAGGGATGAGGTAGCTGGTCTCACAATAGGGATGAGGTAGCCAGCCTCACAATAGGGATGAGGTAGCTAGTCTCACAAAAATGAGGTAGCCATTTTCACACCAGGTATGATGTAGCCATTCTCACATTAGGGATGAGGTAGCCAGTCTCACACAAAAAGATGAGGCAGCCAGTCTCATGCCAACTCTTGTTAGTCGTCTATTATAATAAACAGTTATTAGTCATTGTTTCTCTGATGATAAAATGTTTGTACTATTGACAAAATAGTACAAGGTCAAGAATGGATTAGTGTCGCCCAGCAAAACAGTCCTGCATACAGATTGTTACTTTGGCCTGAGGATGTCAGGAATGAATAGCTGGTGAAACAGAGTCATTGGTACAAGAGCTAATCAATGACAATTCACACCCAGGTGACATCATTATATACACAGACGGGTCTGTAGTGAGAGGTAACAAGAGTAGGTAGGGTTTTATTGCAAAGGTTAATGGATACTGCTTCAAAACAGAGAACCTCACATACAATGTCACTACATCCAATATGGGAATGGAGGTGGAGGCAATAATGGCAGCTTTCTAATGGCTTGAGAACAGCACAGTCCGACATGTGATAATTGTAACAGACTCATAAAGCATGCTTCAGAAAACTGAAACTAACATCCTGTGCACACAGTCGCGTGTATCACTTGATAAGACTCAGATCAGAAGCCTATTATGGACTGTCTGTCCGGGATATTCATGTGTGCGAGATAATGAATAGGCTGAGAGATTAGCTGCTACCACACCTTTGACCAGCCAACTACCTTATGATGAAGCGGACGTGGTAAAGGTTCTCTGGAATCAAAAGGACAGTGCAACAGAACAGACATACACTGAAAGACTAATTCCACTGGGGGGGGGGGGGGGGGGGGGGGGGGGGGGGGGGGGGGGGGGGGAAAGAAGAGTGGGGGGGGGGGTGAGTAGAGGTTACGGATTATATTCAACACTGGGGGGGGGGGGGGGGTGTGAGTAGAGGTTCTGGAAAAGGGGGGGGGGGGATTGGGGGGACTTTAAATCAGAATGCTGGTACTATTAGCATGTTGACTCTTCATTGGCTACTGAAGGAGAGGGAGCACCAGTGGGATTGTGCCGAGTGCAATGATGTCAATTCTTGATTGATTCTATTCATTCTCTGGTAACAAACTGGCGATTACAGTGTCACTGGGAATAAATGCATTGATGGCTTATCTAAGTCACAAGGGGAATGAAATGTCCTACCTGGCATCATTAAGCTGTTGTCTGAGCCGCTCCTTCATCCCAGGCCCAGAAGCAGACTTCAATCTGTCCTCCACGTCTGCAATTGTGGCTCTATATCCAGTCACATTATGTATCACCTGGACATGCTTGCCTCCAGATGTCACCAGGTAGCGACCGCTGTTGTCAAAACTAAGTGTGGTCATTGGATCTGTCAAGTGACAGAAAATCCCATTGATAATAACACCACTGACTGCAGGGCATCTGAAGAATGCTTTCATTTAAAACTAGGGTGGCCATCAAACATTGAGCTGAGAATGGACACCCCACTAATATCTTTAGGTGAAAACGGGACATCTCAAGCAAGTCAGTTTCACACAACCCCCCCCCCTTTGTTTCTTCTAGGAACTGGAGTGAACAGGTTAATTACTCTCCTTGTGTGGGTTCCTGGGCTCCAGTGGGAAAGGAGGGGGGGGGGGGGGAAGACTCAAGTAGGAATCAACTAATTAGAGTGTTTCCTTCTAAGTGTATCTGCCTAAGAGGCGAGGATCCAACAAGTCTGCTTACAAATAAGCCAAATCTGAGGAATGGAGCCTCAGAGTTACAAAGAACCTTACAAAAGGCAGCCTGTGATGTTTCTGTCTCAAATCATTTTCCAGATTGTTTCAGCTGTTCTGTCTTCTAGATACAATGTAGAAGCTGTATCTGGCTACAGCTGCTGTGCAATGCTGTACCTCAACCAGCACCTGATCCAGGTCAGTTTTGTAGAGTGGTTAGTGATTTTAAATAATGCCTGCCTTCAGTCCTAGGAGTGGGGGTGTGGTGACTGTGATCATGTGCATGAGGGAAAGTCCATTACAAAGTGTCTAAGGATAGCTCTACCTCCCCTCAGGCCCCAGCATTGTTTTCTGCTGATTTGACAGACCCTCATGGTAGACTCCTGTCCTTGTGGTGCGCCTCAGATAATGGCTGATGTCTGCTGATTTGACAGACCCTCATGGTAGACTCCTGTCCTTGTGGTGCGCCTCAGATAATGGCTGATGTCTGCTGATTTGACAGACCCTCATGGTAGACTCCTGTCCTTGTGGTGCGCCTCAGATAATGGCTGATGTCTGCTGATTTGACAGACCCTCATGGTAGACTCCTGTCCTTGTGGTGCGCCTCAGATAATGGCCTATGTCAGCTTAGAGATGGCAGGCAATCTCAGAGCTGGTGGCTCCAAGAAATGCAGTGTCTAGATACCCTCTGGCACTTATCAGCCCACCCCCAATGCATGGGTGTCAACACATACATAGAGAACAATAAGCAAAGTCCACAGGTCAAGCCTCCTACTAAATGATAAAGGCTCCGATAAGAGACATAAGATCAACATCTCCTTTGAAATCAAAGGCAGGGAAACAGCAGACTGCAGGAAAGCTTGGATGACTGCATTTCTGTAAAATGGATGCATATGCAAAGCTCAGGTCCCAAAACAAAGCCAAAATTCAGAAATCGATGAAAAAAACCAGGACTTTCTGCTGGTATTTACAACCAGTAGCGCAAACAAACCTACATACAATAAAAAGCTCTAACAGTACAAGTTCCAGTGTTGTCCAGATCCATATAGAAGCCACATTTCTCTTAAAACTGAGCAGCTGTGAGAGAGGTTTTGGACTCTGAACTCCAGCCCCACATGGACATTTGTCTGAGCCCCAGGTGTCTATGTTGAGCCCCAGGTGTCCATGTTGAGCCCCAGGTGTCCATGTTGAGCCCCAGGTGTCTATGTTGAGCTCCAGGTGTCTATGTTGAGCCCCAGGTGTCTATGTTGAGCCCCAGGTGTCTATGTTGAGCCCCAGGTGTCCATGTTGAGCCCCAGGTGTCCATGTTGAGCCCCAGGTGTCCATGTTGAGCTCCAGGTGTCTATGTTGAACCCCAGGTGTCTATGTTGAGCCCCAGGTGTCTATGTTGAGCCCCAGGTGTCTATGTTGAGCCCCAGGTGTCCATGTTGAGCCCCAGGTGTCTATGTTGAGCCCCAGGTGTCTATGTTGAGCCCCAGGTGTCTATGTTGAGCCCCAGGTGTCCATGTTGAGCCCCAGGTGTCCATGTTGAGCCCCACTAATATCTTTAGGTGAAAACGGGACATCTCAAGCAAGTCAGTTTCACACAAACCTCCCCCCCCCCCCCCTTTTGTTTCTTCTAGGAACTGGATTTTACAGGTTAATTACTCTCCTTGTGTGGGTTCCTGGGCTCCAGTGGGAAAGGAGGGGGGGGGGGAGACTCAAGTAGGAATCAACTAATTAGAGTGTTTCCTTCTAAGTGTATCTGCCTAAGAGGCGAGGATCCAACAAGTCTGCTTACAAATAAGCCAAATCTGAGGAATGGATGTGTACACTTTGGCTACAGTCAAAAGGTGGATGAGCACCCAGAATCTTCCGCCTGAGTTTACCAGCCGCTGAATGTAAAGAATAGGAAAATAAGTTGCTAAACATTGGTACTAAAACCTGAATCAATGCTGCCCAGAAATAAAATAAAAATATGTTTTTTTAACTGCAATGAATAAATGTGATACAATGAATAAACATGATACAATGAATAAACATGATACAATGAGTAAACATGATACAATAAATAAACATGATACAATGAATAAACATGATACAATAAATAAACATGATACAATGAATAAACATGATACAATGAGTAAACATGATACAATGAATAAACATGATACAATGAATAAACATGATACAATGAATAAACATGATACAATGAATAAACATGATACAATGAATAAACATGATACAATGAGTAAACATGATACAATGAATAAACATGATACAATGAATAAACATGATACAATGAATAAACATGATACAATGAGTAAACATGATACAATGAGTAAACATGATACAATAAATAAACATGATACAATGAATAAACATGATACAATGAGTAAACATGATACAATGAGTAAACATGATACAATGAATAAACATGATACAATGAATAAACATGATACAATGAATAAACATGATACAATGAGTAAACATGATACAATAAATAAACATGATACAATGAATAAACATGATACAATGAATAAACATGATACAATGAATAAACATGATACAATGAATAAACATGATACAATGAATAAACATGAAATCAAAGGCAGGGAAACAGCAGACTGCAGGAAAGCTTGGATGACTGCATTTCTGTAAAATGGATGCATATGCAAAGCTCAGGTCCCAAAACAAAGCCAAAATTCAGAAATCGATGAAAAAAACCAGGACTTTCTGCTGGTATTTACAACCAGTAGCGCAAACAAACCTACATACAATAAAAAGCTCTAACAGTACAAGTTCCAGTGTTGTCCAGATCCATATAGAAGCCACATTTCTCTTAAAACTGAGCAGCTGTGAGAGAGGTTTTGGACTCTGAACTCCAGCCCCACATTGACATTTGTCTGAGCCCCAGGTGTCTATGTTGAGCCCCAGGTGTCCATGTTGAGCCCCAGGTGTCCATGTTGAGCCCCAGGTGTCTATGTTGAGCTCCAGGTGTCTATGTTGAGCCCCAGGTGTCTATGTTGAGCCCCAGGTGTCTATGTTGAGCCCCAGGTGTCTATGTTGAGCCCCAGGTGTCTATGTTGAGCCCCAGGTGTCTTTGTTGAGCCCCAGGTGTCCATGTTGGGCCCCAGGTGTCCATGTTGAGCCCCAGGTGTCTATGTTGAGCCCCAGGTGTCCATGTTGAGCCCCAGGTGTTTATGTTGAGCCCCAGGTGTTTATGTTGAGCCCCAGGTGTCCATGTTGAGCCCCAGGTGTCTATGTTGAGCCCCCCAGGTGTCCATGTTGAGCCAAAGGTACCTATGCTGAGCCTAAAATGTCCCTATTGAACCCATGGTATCGATGTTGAGCCTAAGGTGTCAATGTTGAGCCTAAGGTGTCTATGCTGAGCACAAGGTGTCTATGACAGCCCAAGGTGTCTATGACAGCCCAAGGTGTCTATGACAGCCCAAATTGTCTATACTGAACCCAAAGTGTCTCTGTCAGTCCAAGGTGTCTTTGCCAGCCTAAGGTGTCTATGCTGAGCTTAAAGTGTCTATGTAAGCCCAAGATGTCTATGTTGAGCTCAAAGCGGCTATGTCAGCCCAAGGTGTCTATGTCAGTCTTTGTGCCTCTTCTTTCAGCAACCATGTCTACTATTACTGTTCATTCTAATCCATAAGATATTAAATTAAAACAGACTCTCCATCTACTTAAATAGACTGCTACTTCAATAGCTTACCTGCATGAACATTCTCTAGTATGTTCTCCTCCTTTCCAGACAGTGCATCCCAGAAAGAAATGCTAGTAGAGGCACCAACTGCAACGGTTCTTCCGTCAGGAGACAAAGCAATCTTCATAGGGCCCTCAAAGGCCAAAGAGCCAGAAAACAGAAGTTTTGGGTCTTGTCCCTGTTCATACCGTACTGAACAAAAATAACGGTAATCTTATATTTTGTACAGTATAGATTATTTCTGAATGCTAAAGATAAGTTTGACTGATAACTAAATCCTATTGTAGGAATCAAAACAAGCGGATCAGAATGGATCAGTCTGGGACACCCAGTCTGTTTTAGAATGGATCAGCCTGGGACACCCGGTCTGTTTTAGAATGGATCAGCCTGGGACACCCAGTCTGTTTTAGAATGGATCAGCCTGGGAGTCTAAATGAATTCTAAACAATGATTTTGAGATAGAACCAATGAGCCTGCAGGCTAACATGCCAGCTCCTGCACCACACAGTTATTGAAGGAAGACATGAAATATTATAGAAGAATGAGAAAGATATAAGGTCTATCTAAAGAAAACTGGCTAACCAACGAAGGATCAAACATGGTCTACATCCTGGGGTGCTGGCCTGCTAGTCTATCTAAAGAAAGCTAACTAACAAAGGATCAAACATGGTCTACATCCTGGGGTGCTGGCCTGCTAGTCTAAAGAAAACCAGCTAGCCAACAAAGGATCAAACATGGTCTACATCCTGGGGTGCTGGCCTGCTAGTCTATCTAAAGAAAACCGGCTAACTAACAAAGGATCAAACATGGTCTACATCCTGGGGTGCTGGCCTGCTAGTCTATCTAAAGAAAGCTAACTAACAAAGGATCAAACATGGTTGACATCCTGGGAAAGATCAGACTGCTGTGTGCTAAACTCACTTTGCTGTTCAGTTGAGCCAGGCATGGGAGGCGTGATCGTGGAAGTGCTGAATGATGATGATGATGATGGCAGAGGTGAGTGCAAAAGGTCCACATGGTTACACTGAGAGACAAGTGTTTCTCAGGTTTGGCAAGTGACAGCAGCTTCAGGGGTTTTGCAAGACCCACGTGTGGATAGTCACTGAGCTGAAAGTTAGTCCGTGCCCAGTCAGTGCCCTTCAGTCTGTGAGAGAGTTCGCACGTGTGTGACCTTTAGCAGTAATTATGTGTACGATTTATTCTAGTGAAAGCTTAGATTGTTCATTAGAATTTGATGTATAATTCGGAATGCTCCAGTGAAGTGTATATACTAGAGCGGAATTGGGAGAACTGAGTTGATGGAGCAGGTGAAGACGCTTGGTGGTGTTTACTATGGAAACAAGACAATTGATTCTACCTATGACACTACTGTGTGTGCCTGACAGTGTGTTGCCAATAATCAAACTGAGGCCCCTTCTTCCACTTTCTACCACCACAATGTCTATAATTTCCTGTAGTTTTTTCTAACTTGTTGCTATCAAGACTGTGTCATCAGCATAATGCAAATTATTTATATTGTGCCTACCAACCACAATTCTAGGCATATCAATTAAAGATCTTATTATATATTCACTGTAAAGTGAAAATAAATCAGGTGACAGTACAAATCCTTGTCGTACCTAAAAAGCTGTTTGCTGCCAATACATATTCTTTTTTTTCGTAGATCTTTTCCATCTAATGTTTAATTTTTCTAACAGTTTGATTACTTCGTCATGTTTCACAGTCAAATGCTTTTGTATAGTCTATGAAGCATAAGTACAAATCAGTCTTTACTTCTATATCTCTTTCTGACAATGTCCTTAGGATGTATATGTCACTGTGTGTAGCTTTTCTTTCTATAAATCCACATTGTTCATTGCTGATTTATGGTTTAATTTTGTTTCTTATTCTTCTCATAATTATTTTCAGTAAAATCTTAGTCATATTGTTATAGTAGTATCAAAGTTTCATGGGCATGGAGATAGTGAACTCATCTGGTGTACAGGTCCCAACTAGAGATGAAGTATTGTTGTCAACTTGGCACCGTGTGTTCTTCAATAAAGACTGATGCACGATTATAGCGATGACATGTAATGTGTTGTTGCTGACACTGTTATAGGTGTTGGGGGAACGATGTGACTATATGTGACTGTTATCTAAGCACTCTCCAGTAGAAAACCCAATTAGTCATCGAATTGTTGACTTGGGGACTTTGGTATATACATATGCATGGGCGAAGCTTTAATCATTTACCCGCTAGACACTTGAGACTTGAGCAGACAGACACGATCTCTGTCAACAACCAAGCCTGCTGAGGGATCAATACTTTGTTAACCACAAGAGAGTAAGAAGAATTCTGTGTGATGATGTTGGTCGATCAGAACCCAGGTACAGCAAACCTTGCACAGAGAGCTTTCATGTGTCAATGTGCTGCTAGCCTTCTTTTGCATAGGCCCAATGTGTACTAAAGCCTTTCCTTCTCACCTGAGACAGCTCACTCCACACATTTCCCATTTCATTCACCTCTATCTCTCATTCTCTTCTCCATACTTGTTGTGCCTTTCTTGTTCTCTTTAGCCCTGTGGGTTACCAGACAAAACAATGATGGTTACTCTATTGTCATGTCTGCTCAGTGTGTGTCCTATCAGCACTAGCATCTTTTCTTCATTTCTTGGTTAGTTCAAATTTAGTTCTTTCATGTAGCCTGTACACAGAAGTCAAACTTGGTCAACTGCAATCTCTGACTGGGACACATAACAGTATTAGAGAGATCAACTCAACACATATGTCAACATTAACAAACAGTATTAGAGAGATCAACTCAACAGATATGTCAACATTAACAAACAGTATTAGAGATATCAACTCAACAGATATGTCAACATTAACAAACAGTATTAGAGAGATCAACTCAACACATATGTCAAAATTAACAAACAGTATTAGAGAGATCAACTCAACAGATATGTCAACATTAACAAACAGTATTAGAGAGATCAACTCAACACATATGTCAAAATTAACAAACAGTATTAGAGAGATCAACTCAACACATATGTCAAAATTAACAAACAGTATTAGAGAGATCAACTCAACAGATATGTCAACATTAACAAACAGTATTAGAGAGATCAACTCAACACATATGTCAACATTAACAAACAGTATTAGAGAGATCAACTCAACACATATGTCAAAATTAACAAACAGTATTAGAGAGATCAACTCAACACATATGTCAAAATTAACAAACAGTATTAGAGAGATCAACTCAACACATATGTCAAAATTAACAAACAGTATTAGAGAGATCAACTCAACAGATATGTCAACATTAACAAACAGTATTAGAGATATCAACTCAACAGATATGTCAACATTAACAAACAGTATTAGAGAGATCAACTCAACACATATGTCAAAATTAACAAACAGTATTAGAGAGATCAACTCAACAGATATGTCAACATTAACAAACAGTATTAGAGAGATCAACTCAACACATATGTCAAAATTAACAAACAGTATTAGAGAGATCAACTCAACACATATGTCAAAATTAACAAACAGTATTAGAGAGATCAACTCAACAGATATGTCAACATTAACAAACAGTATTAGAGAGATCAACTCAACACATATGTCAACATTAACAAACAGTATTAGAGAGATCAACTCAACACATATGTCAAAATTAACAAACAGTATTAGAGAGATCAACTCAACACATATGTCAAAATTAACAAACAGTATTAGAGAGATCAACTCAACACATATGTCAAAATTAACAAACAAAAATAAATGAACAGAATCAGAAGGGACAACAAAGCAAGCACAACTGTACCCAACTATACACAACTGTACCCAACTATACACAACTGTACCCAACTATACACAACTGTACCCAACTATACACAACTGTACCCAACTATACACAACTGTACCCAACTATACACAACAACAGATTACCATCAGTGTCCCAATATTTCCATGTACCATCTTTTGATACAGACGCCATTCTAGGTAGAGAAACAAAATACAGGCAGCTAGGATTTAATTTATTTAATAATGCTTCAGTGAAATTAATTGTTTTCTAAACTATACTGAGCTACTTCCAACATTTACTGCAGGACACACCTCTTGCAATATCATTGGCATAGGTATATTTGTAGCAATATCATTGGAACAGGTATATTTATAGCAATATCATTGGCATAGGTATATTTGTAGCAATATCATTGGAACAGGTATATTTATATAGCACTTAGAAGCAAAATGAGTTTACCCAATTAGATTTAGACAACTGAGAATGAGTTGACACTCACCAAGAGGCAACCAATAAGGGTCTGTGGCATAAAGATGAGAAGGAAAATAATAATGTTGATCAAACAAGTAGTTGATGAAAGTAGTTGCTAGAAGCAACAGGTGAAAAAATCCATGATGGGCACATAGAGACAGTCTGCTAGGGACTAATGTAGTGTATATGTGAGAAGATAGAACCCTTGATGGTATTCTGTTCCCTCAGACTAACATTACAGGAAAACAAACTGTACAATTGCAGGATCACCACAACAGCCAGGTGCAAGTGACAAATCTACTGGAAGAGACTGAAGCACTTATGGATGTAGCCAGATTTATGAGGAGAATCTACTGGAAGAGTGAAGCACTTATAGATGTAGCCAGATTTATGAGGAGAATCTACTGGAAGAGTGAAGCACTTATAGATGTAGCCAGATTTATGAGGAGAATCTACTGGAAGAGTGAAGCACTTATAGATGTAGCCAGATTTATAAGGAGAATCTACTGGAAGAGTGAAGCACTTATAGATGTAGCCAGATTTAAGAGGAGAATCTACTGGAAGAGTGAAGCACTTATAGATGTAGCCAGATTTATGAGGAGAATCTACTGAAAGAGTGAAGCACTTATAGATGTAGCCAGATTTATGAGGTGAATCTACTGGAAGAGTAAAGCACTTATAGATGTAGCCAGATTTATGAGGTGAATCTACTGGAAGAGTGAAGCACTTATAGATGTAGCCAGATTTATGAGGAGAATCTACTGGAAGAGTGAAGCACTTATAGATGTTTCCAGTATTTATGAGGAGAATTTACTGGAAGAGTGAAGCACTTATAGATGTATTCAGTATTTATGAGGAGAATCTACTGGAAGAGTGAAGCACTTATAGATGTATTCAGTATTTATGAGGAGAATTTACTGGAAGAGTGAAGCACTTATAGATGTATTCAGTATTTATGAGGAGAATCTACTGGAAGAGTGAAGCATTTATAGATGTAACCAGTATTTATGAGGGGAGTTTACTGGAAGAGTGAAGTACTTATGGATGTATAAAGTATTTATGAGGAGAGTCTATTGGAGAAGACTGAAGTACTTATGGATGTAGCCAGATTTATAAAGAGAATCTATTGGAAGAGACTGAAGCACTTATGGATGCAATTAATGTGATCCTTGTGAGCTAAACTAGAAACAAAACGACCCCCCCCCCCCCCCCAAAAAAAAAGTAAAAGTCACCTAACTTATTTGCCATGTTATAACTCGTGCTGTGTCACATGGGAATACTGAGAAACATCATTGAACACAATGCATATACAAACATTCCTGGGGAAGTAAAGACGGCCGGCATAACGCTGACCACATTACCCATCCAGTGCCGACTGGTCTGTACAGATATGGGACACTCATCCCATATACCCGATGTGCTCAAGGCGTGAAAAGGGATCTTTTAATTACTTAATTAAACACAAGCATTCAATAAACTAACAGACAAGACAAGGTGTATAAGTAAAATCAACAACAAAGAAAGAAAACTGTTCCAGGCCAAACAAACCTTCTGGAATCATTGTTGAAGCTAAAACAGTAGACACCTGCACCATGACCTTTCAGCTCAAACGCCCTCTTCACTTCTTGGAAGCTGCCAGATTTATCAAACACTACTTCCCAAACTTTCACATCTGGTGTGAAACCTAAAACAAATAATCATGTCCTTTCATTTTGTTATATAATGGTCAGTTAGTTATAGTTATGCAAAGGTCAAAGATAGGTATCCAATAGTCACATTTATTGTTATAGCTATGCAATGACCAAAAATATAGTTATGTGATCTTTAGTTATATTTATGCAATGGTCAAAGATATATTTACTATTAACACAACCTTGACCCGTTAGGGTCGAGGAGGTGTATCAATGGAAGCAGCACCACACAAAACCCGACATCTTTCTCTGTCTTCCGCTTGATGAATAAGCCTATGATAACTTAGTCCTGTCCATTTCTTGATGATGTCATTTCAGAAATTCTTTTCCCTCCTCTTCTTTGACTTCCCTCCAATGTTTGTTGAAATAAGGTCTGTGCAATCGAATCATGTCTCACCACGTGCCCAAACCAAGCTAGTTTGCAATGTTTCACTATGTGCCCAAACCAAGCTAGTTTGCAACGTTTCACTACGTGCCCAAACCAAGCTAGTTTGCAATGTTTCACCACATGCCCAAACCAAGCTAGTTTGCAACATTACACCACGTGCCCAAACCAAGCTAGTTTGCAATGTTTCACCACGTGCCCAAACCAAGCTAGTTTGCAATGTTTCACCACATGCCAAAACCAAGCTAGTTTGCAGTGTTTCACCATGTGCCCAAACCAAGCTAATTTGCAACATTTCTCCATATGCCCAAACCAAGCTAGTTTGCAATGTTTCACCACGTGCCCAAACCAAGCTAGTTTGCAATGTTTCACCACGTGCCCAAACCAAGCTAGTTTGCAATGTTTCACCACGTGCCCAAACCAAGCTAGTTTGCAATGTTTCACCATGTGCCCAAACCAAGCTAGTTTGCAATGTTTCACCACGTGCCCAAACCAAGCTAGTTTGCAATGTTTCACCACGTGCCCAAACCAAGCTAATTTGCAGTGTTTCACCACGTGCCCAAACCAAGCTAATTTGCAACATTTCTCCATATGCCCAAACCAAGCTAGTTTGCAATGTTTCACCACGTGCCCAAACCAAGCTAGTTTGCAATGTTTCACCACGTGCCCAAACCAAGCTAGTTTGCAATGTTTCACCATGTGCCCAAACCTAGCTAGTTTGCAATGTTTCACCACGTGCCCAAACCAAGCTAGTTTGCAATGTTTCACCACGTGCCCAAACCAAGCTAGTTTGCAATGTTTCACCACGCGCCCAAACCAAGCTAGTTTGCAATGTTTCACCACGTGCCCAAACCAAGCTAGTTTGCAATGTTTCACCATGTGCCCAAACCAAGCTAGTTTGCATTGTTTCACCACGTGCCCAAACCAAGCTAGTTTGCAGTGTTTCACCATGTGCCCAAACCAAGCTAATTTGCAACATTTCTCCATATGCCCAAACCAAGCTAGTTTGCAATGTTTCACCACGTGCCCAAACCAAGCTAGTTTGCAATGTTTCACCATGTGCCCAAACCAAGCTAGTTTGCAATGTTTCACCACGTGCCCAAACCAAGCTAGTTTGCAATGTTTCACCATGTGCCCAAACCAAGCTAGTTTGCATTGTTTCACCACGTGCCCAAACCAAGCTAGTTTGCAGTGTTTCACCATGTGCCCAAACCAAGCTAATTTGCAACATTTCTCCATATGCCCAAACCAAGCTAGTTTGCAATGTTTCACCACGTGCCCAAACCAAGCTAGTTTGCAATGTTTCACCATGTGCCCAAACCAAGCTAGTTTGCATTGTTTCACCACGTGCCCAAACCAAGCTAGTTTGCAATGTTTCACCATGTGCCCAAACCAAGCTAGTTTGCATTGTTTCACCACGTGCCCAAACCAAGCTAGTTTGCAATATTTCACCACTGCCAAGAGGGACTCCTGATTTCATGCTAGTTTGTAGATGTATGTTGTCTCGGAAACATCTGTTAGTTTTGTGTTCTAAATAACTAATTCGTAAAATGTGTCTGTAGCATTCAAAAGCCTGAAATTACTACTATGCAATGGTCAGAGGTATAGTTTAAAAAAAAAATGTAATTAGTCAGTTATAGTTATGCAAGGGTCAAAGATATAGTTATATGGTCAGAATTACTGTTACAGTTATGCAACAATCAGAGATATCATTATAGTTATTTATGGTTAGTCATCATTATTTAATCATCAGCTATAGTTATGCAAGCATCAGATATATAGTTATAGTTACGTAATAGTCAGTTAAAGTTACGCAATTGTCAGACATATTTAGTTATAAAATGGTCAGTTATAGCTATGCATTGGTCAGAGATAGTCATACAATGGTAATTTGTGTCATGACCATAGTTAGCTGTGCAATGGTCAGTTATAGTTATGTAATTTATTAATTACAGTTATAGTTATGCAATGGTTATTTACATAATTGTGCAATGGTTACAGGCATAGTTGTGCAATGGTCAGTTATAGTTGTGCAATGGTCAGTTATAGTTATGCAATGGTTATATATATAGTTGTGCAATGGTCAGTTATAGTTATGCAATGGTTATATATATAGTTGTGCAATGGTCAGTTATAGTTATGTAATTTATTAATTACAGCTATGTAACTGTCAGTTATAGTTATGTAATTTATTAATTACAGCTATGTAACTGTCAGTTATAGTTATGCAATGGTTATATACATAGTTGTGCAATGGTCAGTTATAGTTATGTAATTTATTAATTACAGCTATGTAACTAACTGCCAGTTATAGTTATGTAGGAGTGGAGATGTGGTGGAGATGTTTTGAATGACAATGGCAAGCGACTTATCTGATTCTGTAGGGAACAGAACCTTGTCATTACGAACACAAAATTTCCTAACAAATATATACATGCATACACAAGATGTGAATCTTCAAAGGATAAGAAATTCATCATCAACTACGCCATAGTAAGGAAAAGTTCAGTCAAGTTTGTGAGAGATGCCAGAGTCATGAGAGGACCAGAGATTGGAAGTGACCACTATCTGGTCACAATAAAGAGAACAACTGAAAGAACTGCTTCAACAAGGCAACAACGACAACCATGCAAGAAACAAAGCAGCCGAGAAGAGAAAAGGATTAAGGCATACAAGCTAAGAGAGCCAGATATTGAGGCTAGATACCAGAAGCTTATAGTGAAAGCAATAGGAACTGAAGAAGAACCATCAGAGGACACTGAAACCCTCTGGTGCAGACTCAAGAATATCCTCACAGAAGCTACAGTAGAAGCATGTGGTGACGGAAGAAGTCAAACTGAAAATATGAGATAAGAAAAAGGCACAGAAGCAATATCTGGCAGCTAGGAACACAGCTAAAGAAATAGAGAAATAGAAGCGATATGTGACAGAACAGAGGCCAAAAATATGATCTTTAATGCACAACAGAAATCATCAGAAGAATTTGGAGAAAAGAATGCAAGAGAAAATCAAAAACTGTTCTACAAGACACTCAAGGACACAAGGAAGGAGAAAGAGTGCCCACTGAAATTCATAAAAGACAAAGAAGGGGCTCTGCTTACTTCTACAAATGATATCATGGACAGATGGAAAGAGTACTTCTCAGAGCTCTTTGGTGTTGAGGAAAGCCATGATCCAGCAATAATGGACCTCACTGCTGAGAAGGAAATCATCCATCAGGATGGAAGAATTTAAGGCAGCTACTGAGAAGATTAAGCTGGGGAAAGCAGCAGGACATGATGGTATAACACCAGAGATGGTCCAATATAGGAGAGTCGCAGGTGAATGAATGCTCTGGAAGTGCAGGTAGCCTGGTGTGGTAAAAACTATACCGAAACACTCGGAGATTGACATAATTATTTAAGAAGGGTGATAACAGACAATGTGAAAACTACACAGGCATATCCTTCCACAGCGTTGCTGGTAACAGTTACTCTAGAACTCTTGAGCAGAGACTTAGAAGTCTGGTAGAACCACAGCTGGATCAGGTCCAACGCAGCTTCAGAGCAAACCAAAGTGCTCAGGCAGATTTATAAAAAAGCCCTTGAATATAAAAGTGAGATGCACCTATGTTTTTTGGATTTAGAAAGGGCATTTGATAAGGTTCCCTGTAGCAAGCTTAGGGGCTGCTTGGTAGGGAAAAACAATACAGTATCCCTGATCAGTGCAATATAGTTTCTATAAAATGGCTAAAGTTATGTAGGAACAGCAGACCAAAAGTCAAAAGAATTGAAGACCACTAGAAGTGTTAGACAAGGTGATATTCTTTCACCTGACCTCTTTATTCTTATGATGGATGATGTCATCAAGACCTGTAAGGAGAAGACACAGCACACAGCAGGCTACTGGAAGAAGAGATGTATATCAGAGCTGGCATTTGCAGAGCATGTGGCTCTGATAGCTTAATCAGAGGCACATCTTTAATACAACTGACTTGTCAGGAAGGAAGAGCTTGAGAAAAGAGGGATGACCATCAGTATCTCCAAAAACTAAAACCAGGGTGATCTAAATACAGGGGAAGAAACACCAGATCATGATAGAATGAATAATATGCATTCCAGCTGGTCAGCCAGTTCAAATAGCTTGGAGTTGTAATAAACCGGCATTCAGACAAAACTGGCTATTCAAGAAGCAGCTGCTTTTCCAGGCTATCAACCAAGACTGACTCCAGCTGACGAGAAATGCTGCTGACCTCACTAAACTGGGCTAACGATATGTTAACTTTGTTAATGCAGCAATTCTCAAACGCCTCAACAATCAATAAATCAGTTATAGTTATGCAATGGTCAGTGATATAGCTATGCAATGTTCAATTATAGTTATGCAATGGTCAGTGACATAGTTATGCAATTTTCAGTTATAGTTAAAAATGTTCAGTGATATAGTTATGCAACGGTCAGTCACAGCTATGCAATGGTCAATGATATAGTTATCCAATGGTCAGTGATATACTTATGCAATGGTCAGTGATATAGTTATGCAATGGTCAGTTATAGTTATGCAATGGTCAGTTATAGTTATGCAATTGTCAGTGATATAGTTATGCAATGGTCAGTTTCAGCTATGCAGCGGTTAGAGATATAGTTATAATTATACAATGGTCAGTTACGACTATGCAATGGTCACAGCTATAGTTAGTTATGCAACGATCATTTAGTTATGAGGAAAAAAATTATATAATGGTCAGAGATATATTTATATAATAGATTAATTAATTATGCAATTGTCAGAGGTTCAGTTATGCAATTTCAGACACATAGATATGTAATGGTCAGTTGTAGTTATGCAATTTCAGACATATAGTTATGTAATGGTCAGTTGTAGTTATTCAATTTCAGATATATAGTTTTGCAGTGGTCAATTAAAGCTATTCAATGGTCAGTTATAGTTATGCAATGGTCAGTTATAGTATGCATTTGTCAGACATATAGTTATGTAATGGTCAAAGATGTAGATTACATATATACAGTGGTCAATTACAGGTATGTAATTGTTAGAGATACAGTTATCTAATGATCAGAATTACAGTTATATAATGGTCAGATACAGTTTTTGTTAAGTGTTGAAAAAAACAAACAGCATTTAAAAACGGACTGTGAGCTAGACCAAAGCATCATAAACCTGGCAGGCAAAAAAGTTGCGGATGCTACTACAAGCATGTTGTGTTGCAGCCAGCAGTGGATATTTGGTGCACTCATTGAAATAGGCAACATGTAGGTCAACATTGAATCATCATCATTGACACCAAATTTATCAGATAATCTTGGACAAAGTTATTAAAAATATAAATAGGTTATTGAATGATTTGGGACATGGTATAGTTATAATTCTGTAACAGTCTGTTATAGTTCTGTAACAGTAAGTTATAGTTATGAAATGGTCAGTTATTATTATGTAACGATGAGAGTTATTATATAATGATCAGTTTTAATTTTTCAATGTTGACTTATAGTTGCTGTTATGTAATGATCAGTTACAGTGATGTAATTGTCAGAGTTGTGGTAATAGTAAAACTTGTGTAATGACCAGAATTAGAGCATTGGTTTTGTAATGGTCATCTGCAATTATCATAGTTATAACCATGCAATCCTCAGAGCTATTAAAGTTATATTTACATCACAGTCAGAGTTGTCGTGTAATGATCAGGGGTATGGTTATAGGTATGGTTATGTAATGGTCAGTGTTATGGTTATGTAATGTTCATTGTTATGGTTATGTAATGGTCAGTATTATGGTTATTTAATGGTCAGTTATTGTTATGTAATGGTCTGAGTTATGGTTATTTAATGGTCAGTTATTGTTATGTATTGGTCAGTTATTGTTAGCTAATGGTCAGTTTTTGTTATGTATTGGTCAGTTATTGTTAGCTAATGGTCAGTGTTATGGTTATGTAATGGTCAGTTATTGTTAACTAATGGTCAGTGTTATGGTTATTTAATGGTCAGTTATTGTTATGTAATGGTCAGTGTTATGGTTATTTAATGGTCAGTTATTATTATGTAATGGTCAGTGTTATGGTTATTTAATGGTCAGTTATTGTTATTTAATGGTCAGTGTTATGGTTATTTAATGGTCAGTTATTGTTAGGTAATGGTCAGTGTTATGGTTATTTAATGGTCAGTTATTGTTAGGTAATGGTTAGTGTTATGGTTATTAATGGTCAGTTATTGTTAGGTAATGGTCAGTGTTATGGTTATGTAATGATCAGGGGTATGGTTTTAGATATGGTTATGAAATGGTCAGTGTTATGGTTATGTAATGTTCAGTTATTGTTAGGTAATGGTCCCAGTTACTTTTATGTTATGGGCCCAGTTTTGGCTAAGTACTGTTTAGTATCAGAAAGAAGAAATCACTAAGAGATCAATGTCAGTCTGCTAAGACCACACAAGTGATCAGAACTCTGCATTAGTGACTCTGTAACGCCATTTAATTCTTCTATTCTACACAGGCAGCAATTAATATTTTACTCTAAACACAAAACCCACTGTCAGTGGGATAAAGCCAAACAATGACCAACACAACTACTAGTAAACAGACCCATCTAGAAATCAGAAATGGTAGTCAAGAATCCATATAATGAAATAAGAATGTCAGCCTAGTTAGTGTCAGTAAAATACCTGAAGAAGCCACGAATCGTCCACATGGAGAAACTTTCCCACATGAGTTGCTCATCTGGTGAGTGTCAATTGTTGCCAGAACTTCACCTGTAAAGACATGCTTGCATTGTCAAAGACCTTATCAGAGAAGCATCACTTTTATATTGAAGTTGACTGTCAATGCAAATAAACTTATTCACAGTAAATCAATCAAACATTATATCAGGTGAATCTAACAAATGAGGATCACTTGGAGAGGCTAACAATGATTGCTGTGTAAAAGCTAGTGAAGGCAGGACACTGTAGGCAAGGGTCATGTCATGAGAAGGACAACATTGGAGATGGTCATCAGGACTGGGAAGATCACTAGCCAAAAAGGCGTTCAGAGAGAAATGTTGATATAAGACAGGGGCATCAGAGAGAAATGTTGATATAAGACAGGGGCGTTCAGAGAGAAATGTTGATATAAGACAGGGGCATCAGAGAGAAATGTTGATATAAGACAGGGGCATCAGAGAGAAATGATATAAGACAGGAAAATCAGACAAAAATGTTGATATAAGACAGGGGCAGCAGACAGAAATGTTGATATAAGACAGGGGCGTTCAGAGAGAAATGTTGATATAAGACAGGGGCAGCAGAGAGAAATGTTGATATAAGACAGGGGCGTTCAGAGAGAAATGTTGATATAAGACAGGGGCATCAGAGAGAAATGTTGATATAAGACAGGGGCATCAGAGAGAAATGTTGATATAAGACAGGGGCATCAGAGAGAAATGTTGATATAAGACAGGGGCAGCAGAGAGAAATGTTGATATAAGACAGGGGCGTTCAGAGAGAAATGTTGATATAAGACAGGGGCATCAGAGAGAAATGTTGATATAAGACAGGGGCATCAGAGAGAAATGTTGATATAAGACAGGGGCAGCAGAGAGAAATGTTGATATAAGACAGGGGCATCAGAGAGAAATGTTGATATAAGACAGGGGCATCAGAGAGAAATGTTGATATAAGACAGGGGCATCAGAGAGAAATGTTGATATAAGACAGGGGCGTTCAGAGAGAAATGTTGATATGAGACACGGGCATCAGATAGAAATGTTGATATAAGACAGGGGCATCACAGAGAAATGATATAAGACAGGAAAATCAGACAAAAATGTTGATATAAGACAGGAAAATCAGACAAAAATGTTGATATAAGACAGGGGCAGCAGACAGAAATGTTGATATAAGACAGGGGCAGCAGAGAGAAATGTTGATAGAAGACAGGGGCAGCAGAGAGAAATGTTGATATAAGACAGTGGAAGCAGAGAGAAATCTTGATATAAGACAGGGGAAGCAGAGAGAAATGTTGATATAAGACAGGGGAAGCAGAGAGAAATGTTGATATAAGACAGGGGCATCAGAGAGAAATGTTGATATAAGACAGGGGAAGCAGAGAGAAATGTTGATATAAAACAGAGGCAGCAGAGAGAAATGTTGATATAAGACAGGGGAAGCAGAGATATATGTTGATATAAGAAAGAGGCGGCAGAGATAAATGTTGACATAAAACAGAGGCAGCAGAGAGGAATGTTGATATAAGACAGTGGAAGCAGAGAGAAATCTTGATATAAGACAGGGGAAGCAGAGAGAAATGTTGATATAAGACAGGGGAAGCAGAGAGAAATGTTGATATAAGATAGTGGCAGGGGAGAGAAATGTTAATATAAGATAGTGGCAGCAAAGATAAATGTTAATATAAGATAGTGGCAGGGGAGATAAATGTTAATATAAGATAGTGGCAGGGGAGAGAAATGTTAATATAAGATAGTGGCAGCAAAGATAAATGTTAATATAAGATAGTGGCAGCAAAGATAAATGTTAATATAAGATAGTGGCAGGGGAGATAAATGTTAATATAAGATAGTGGCAGCAAAGATAAATGTTAATATAAGATAGTGGCAGGGGAGAGAAATGTTAATATAAGATAGTGGCAGCAAAAAGAAATATTAAAATAAGATAGTGGTAGCAGAGAGAAATGATAATTTAAGATAGTGACAAAAGGGGCAGTAGGGAGAAATGAGGATAACAGATAATGGCAGATTAGAAAGAAAAAATGTGCCGAATCATCAAAATCAATAAAGTTTCAATACCAGCACACCACCTTTCAAATCCCAGATGAGTATGGTTGTGTCACTATGGCAGGTCATGATAAACCGTCCGCTGGAAGAAATACCAACTCCAATGATGTCTGCACTGTGCTTCTGTGTTAACAAATAAGGGGGATGTCCAGTCAGTATGGCATTCTACATATGACTTCATCAAAATGGCATACTATATCTGACTTCATCAAAATGGCATACTATATCTGACTTCATCAAGATGGCATAGTATATCTGACTTAATCAAAATGGCATACTATATCTGACTTCATCAAGATAGCATACTATATCTGACTTAATCAAAATGGCATACTATATCTGACTTCATCAAGATGGCATACTATATCTGACTTCATCAAGATGGCATACTATATCTGACTTCATCAAGATGGCATACTATATCTGACTTCATCAAGATGGCATACTATATCTGACTTCATCAGATATGGCATACTGTATCTGACTTCATCAAGATGGCATACTATATCTGACTTCACAAGATGGCACTTTTTTTTTCAACTTTTTCAAGATGGCATACTATATTAGACTTATGAAGATGGCGTACTATATCTGACTTCACAAGATGGCATACTATATCTGACTTCACAAGATGGCACTTTTTTTTTTTACTTTATCAAGATGGCATACTATATCTGACTTCACAAGATGGCACTTTTTTTTTTTACTACATCAAGATGGCATACTATATCCGACTTAACAAGATGGCACACTATATCTGACTTCATCAAGATGGCATACTATATCTGACTTCATCAAGATGGCATACTATATCTGACTTCATCAAGATGGCATACTATATCTGACTTCATCAAGATGGCATACTATATCTGACTTCATCTAGATGGCATACTATATCTGACTTCATCAAGATGGCATACTATATCTGACTTCAAAGGATGGCATACTATATCTGACTTCATCAAGATGGCATACTATAGCTGACTTTATCAAGATGGCACTTTTTTAGACTACATCAAGATTACATACTATAACTGACAGCATTGAGATGGCACACTATAACTGACAGCATCTAGATGACTATAATTGACAGCATCTAGATGGCATACTATGACAGCATCTAGTTGGCACACTATAACTGACAGCATCTAGATGGCACACTATAACTGACAGCATCTAGATGGCATACTATGACAGCATCTAGATGGCACACTATAACTGACAGCATCTAGATGGCACACTATAACTGACAGCATCTAGATGGCACATTATAACTGACAGCTTCTAGATGGCACACAATAACTGACAGCATGTAGATGGCATACTATAACTGACAGCATGTAGATGGCATACTATAACTGACAGCATCTAGATGGCACACTATGACAGCATCTAGATGACACACTATAACTGACAGCATGTAGATGGCACACTATAACTGACAGCATCTAGATGGCACACTATAACTGACAGCATCTAGATGACACACTATAACTGACAGCATCTAGATGACACACTATAACTGATAGCATGTTGATGACACATAGTACCTGACAGTATCTAGATGACACACTGTAACTGACAGGATATAGATGGCATACCATAAATGACAGCATCTACACAACATACTATAACTGACTTCATCGAGCCAGCATATTAATGATGATAAAATAACTAATAATTTTTTATCATTTGTTCTAAAGCATAAGATGTAATCAGTAACTTATGGGAAGATGCTGCCTAAGCGTTGCCACACAGTACTTTCCCACAACATGACACAAGTGTTGCTGCACAGTACTTCACCACAACATGACACAAGTGTTGCCATACAGTACTTCACCACAACATGACACAAGTGTTGCTGCACAGTACTTTGCCACACATGACACAAGTGTTGCTGCACAGTACTTTGCCAAAACATGACACAAGTGTTGCCACACAGTACTTCCCCACAACTTGACAAAACGTTGCCACACAGTACTTCACCACAACATGACACAAGTGTTGCCACACAGTACTTCACCACAACATGACAAAAGCGTTGCCACACAGTACTTCACCACAACATGACACAAGTGTTGCCACACAGTACTTCACCACAACATGACACAAGTGTTGCCACACAGTACTTCACCACAACATGACAAAAGCGTTGCCACACAGTACTTCACCACAACATGACACAAGTGATACTGCACAGTACTTCACCACAACAGGACACAAGTGATTCTGCAGAGTACTTCACCACAACATGACACAAGTATTGCCACACAGTATTTCACCACAACATGACAAAAGCGTTGCCACACAGTACTTCACCACAACATGACACAAGTGTTGCCACACAGTACTTCACCACAACATGACACAAGTGTTGCTACACAGTACTTCACCACAACATGACACAAGCATTGTCACACAGTACTTCCCCACAACATGACACAAGTGTTGCCACACAGTACTTCACCACAACATGACACAAGTGTTGCTACACAGTACTTCACCACAACATGACAAGTGTTGCCACACAGTACTTCCCCACAACATGAGACAAGCATTGCCACACAGTACTTCCCCACAACATGACACAAGTGTTGCCACACGGTACTTCACCACAACATGACACAATTGTTGCTACACAGTACTTCACCACAACATGACAAGTGTTGCCACACAGTACTTCACCACAACATGACACAAGTGTTGCGACATAGTACTTCACCACAACATGACACAAGTGTTGCCACACACTACTTTCCCACAACATGACACAAGCATTGCCACACAGTACTTCCCCACAACATGACACAAGTGTTGCCACACAGTACTTCCCCACAACATGACACAAGCATTGCAGCACAGTACTTCCCCACAGCATGACACAAATGTTGCCACACAGTACTCCACCACAACATGACACAAGTGATACTGCATAGAACTTCACCACAACATGACACAAGTGTTGCCACACAGTATTTCACCACAACATGACAGAAGTGTTGCCACACAGTACTTCACCACAACATGACACAAGTGTTGCGACACAGTACTTCACCACAACATGACACAAGGGTTGCCACACAGTACTTCACCACAACATAACACAAGCGTTGCTGCACAGTACTTCACCACAATATGACACAATCATTGCCACACAGTACTTTACCACAACATGACACAAGTGTTGCCACACAGTACTTCACAAGATGACACAGGTGTTGCTACACAGTACTTCCCCACAACATGACACAAGTTTTGTCACACAGTACTTCACCACAACATGACACAAGTGTTGCCAAACAGTACTTTACCACAACATGACACAAGCATTGCTGCACAGTACTTCAGAAAAACATGACACAAGCATTGCCACACAGTACTTCACCACAACATGTCACAAGCGTTGCCACACAGTACTTCCCCACAACATGACACAAGTGCTGCCACAGAGTACTTCACCACAACATGACACAAGTGATACTGCACAGTACTTCACCACAACATGACACAAGGGTTGCCACACAGTACTTTGCCACAACATGACACATGTGTTGCCACACAGTACTTCACCACAACATGACACAAGTGTTGCCACACAGTACTTCCCCACAACATGACACAAGCATTGCCACACAGTACTTCACCACAACATGACACAAGTGTTGCCACACAGTACTTTACCACAACATGACACAAGTGCTGCCGCACAGTACTTCACCACAACATGACTAACCTTAGGAAAAGTGACTGCTGGGTTTATGCTCACACTGTGGCTTGTGTCCTCTTTCTTTCCCAAACGGAATATTCTCACTGCATTTTCATTAGCTAGACTCACAATGAAAGCTCTGTTGAGCAATCAAATGAAAAAAGAACACGACAAAAAATTTTAATTAATGTCAAGTAATTCAAGAATTGTTAGAACGGAATCTGGTAACTCTGATTGGTTCCCAGTAGAAACAGGCGTGAAACAAGGATGTGTCTTGTCACCGATGCTTTTCGGAATAGCACTCGATTGGGTCATGCGCAAATGCACACAGGACACACATCTAGGCATCAAATGGGTCGACAAAGTTCTCGAAGATCTTGACTTTGCTGACGACCTAGCACTCCAGAGCACAACACATCTAGAAGCTCAGGAAAAAATGGACCGCCTCCAGAATATTTCAAGCCAAATCGGCCTTCAGGTCAACGCAGCCAAAACGAAAATCATCGATCTTACCAACGAGTCGAAAGACATCAAACTAAAGGATATTGTTCTTGAAAAAATCACCAGCTTCCCATACTTAGGGAGCAAGATAACCTCTGCGGGAGATACAACATCAGAAATAACGACTCGAATCGCGTTAGCATCAAGTGCCTTTAACAAACTGTCAAACATTTGGAAGTCAAGATCACTCAGCAACAACACGAAACTTAAGGTCTTCAATTCCTGTGTGATCCCAGTGCTAACTTATGGTTGTGAGAGTTGGAAATCATCAGTATCAATCGATAAGAAACTAGTCGCTTTCGAGAATAGATGCCTCCGAAAGCTATTGAATGTTTACTGGTCGGACTTTAGGTCCAATACATCTATAAGACAGGAAACAAAACAAAAATATGTGTCTGATTTTATTAGAATGCGTCGCTGGAATTACATCGGTCACGTACTCAGAATGGACATACAGAGACTTCCCCACCAAGCCTTCATATGGTCACCAGAGGGTAAAAGAAAACAGGGAAGACCAAAAGAAACTCTCCGTAGAACCATCACAAGGGAGAGCTCAACCATAGGTCTCAGTCGCACTCAAGACCTACATCAAGTGGCAAAGAACCGACAGATGTGGAAAGCTATGACCTCTGCCCTATGCGCCATCTTTGGCACAAGAGGAATAACTAACTAACTAACTAATTCAAGAATTAGGCGTTTTCTAAAATTAAAATAAATTTATAAAAAAATTATAGGTGATTTTCTGCAGTTTTTATCTGGGTAAAGATTTGACATCATTTAGCATTTAGGACAAGCCCTATGAGCTACATCTCCCTCCTCAACAGCTAGCACACAGTCTCCAGACTGATGGTACCTGTTGGCATCTAGTTAACTACTTGTATTGTCTCTTTCCCCCTTTCAGAGTCTCCAGTGGTGCCCGTAGACATTCACTGCTGCATCTGTCTTTCCAGGTATGCATTTTGAGTATCTTCCATTTTACTGGTGGCCTTGTCCCACAGGTGAGAGACCATTTCTGCCTTGTGATGTTGCAATACACTGCCAACTGGGGCTAGTCCAGCCAAATAAACTGCCTGTTCATTCACAAACAAGATATCCATGTGACTCTCACCACCTACAACCTCAGCATTAAAGCAATGCATTCCACAGATAGAAAACCTGACTCCACTTTCTTCAGTATGCTCTGCGAATCTGACACTATAACAACATCTGTGGCTGAGATCTTCTGCACCCACTGGAACACCACAGTTACTGCCTCAACCTCCGTTCTCATGCAGGATGTGATGTCACATGCCAAGCTTTTCCCAATCATCTTCTCTCCATGCTTTTATGATGAAGCCCCATCCACTTGTGCTGCTGCCACTGACCCATCAGTGTACATGACCACATCTGCTGCTGCTGCTGGCTACTGACCCATCAGTGTACATGACCACATCTGCTGCTGCTGGCCACTGACCCATCAGTGAACATGATCACATCTGCTGCTGGCCACTGACCCATCAATGTACATGACCACATCTGCTGCTGGCCACTGACCCATCAGTGTACATGACCACATCTGCTGCTGGCCACTGACCCATCAGTGAACATGATCACATCTGCTGCTGGCCAGTGACCCATCAGTGTACATGATCACATCTGCTGCTGGCCACTGACCCATCAATGTACATGATCACATCTGCTGCTGCTGGCCACTGACCCATCAGTGTACATGACCACATCTGCTGCTGGCCACTGACCCATCAGTGAACATGATCACATCCGCTGCTGGCCACTGACCCATCAGTGTACATGACCACATCTGCTGCTGGCCACTGACCCATCAATGTACATGATCACATCTGCTGACTAAACCAACAGGAAACTAACACAACTTGTATGTGGTCAGTGTTGACTAAGCCAGTGGGGAAACTGTATCACAACTTGTATGTGGTCAGTGTTGACTACAGAGGACACGGTCATTTATATAGAGTCTGGAATGAAATAGTGATGCTATTTTGGGAGATTAGAAGAGAAGACATGGTTACTTACTTCAGTATGCTCTGCGAATCTGACACTATAACAACATTTGTGGCTGAGATCTTCTGCACCCACTGGAACACCACAGTTACTGCCTCAACCTCCGTTTTCATGCAGGATGTGATGTCACATGCCAAGCTTTCCCCAATCATCTTCTCCCCATGCTTTTATGATGAAGCCCCATCCACTTGTGCTGCTGCCACTGACCCATCAGTGTACATGACCACATCTGCTGCTGCCACTGACCCATCAGTGTACATGACCACATCTGCTGCTGCCACTGACCCATCAGTGTACATGACCACATCTGCTGCTGCTGCTGGCTACTGACCTATCAGTGTACATGATCACATCTGCTGCTGCTGGCCACTGACCCATCAGTGTACATGATCACATCTGCTGCTGCTGGCCACTGACCCATCAGTGTACATGACCACATCTGCTGCTGGCCACTGACCCATCAGTGTACATGACCACATCTGCTGCTGGCCACTGACCCATCAATGTACATGACCACATCTGCTGCTGGCCACTGACCCATCAGTGTACATGATCACATCTGCTGCTGCTGGCCACTGACCCATCAGTGTACATGACCACATCTGCTGCTGGCCACTGACCCATCAGTGTACATGACCACATCTGCTGCTGGCCACTGACCCATCAGTGTACATGACCACATCTGCTGCTGGCCACTGACCCATCAGTGAACATGATCACATCTGCTGCTGGCCACTGACCCATCAATGTACATGACCACATCTGCTGCTGGCCACTGACCCATCAGTGTACATGATCACATCTGCTGCTGGCCACTGACCCATCAATGTACATGATCACATCTGCTGCTGGCCACTGACCCATCAGTGTACATGACCACATCTGCTGCTGGCCACTGACCCATCAATGTACATGACCACATCTGCTGACTAAACCAACAGGAAACTAACACAACTTGTATGTGGTCAGTGTTGACTAAGCCAGTGGGGGAACTGTATCACAACTTGTATGTGGTCAGTGTTGACTACAGAGGACACGGTCATTTATATAGAGTCTGGACTAAAATAGTGATGCTATTTTGGGAGATTAGAAGAGAAGACATGGTTACTTACTTGGAGTCTGGACTAAAAGCCACATTTGTTGCAGAATCCAAATCAACATTCCCTCGAATGTACCTGGGGAGGAAAATGCATTGTCTAGTACATTTTTATTCTTTTTTCTTTATTCACACTGAAATGAAGACTGATCGACCATGATGAACAAACAAAAATCACAAGTGCCCGATTTTCAAAAAAGACTACACTGTGAAAATGGCTTCCAGAAAAACTAGTTACTTTTATTTTGTTTAACCTGGTGTAGAATGTGAGAGAACATTTTCTGTGAAGTTAAAGGGAAGATATCAATCATATACCAAGGGTTGCCTTGGGTTAAAACGGTTTATACAACACAACCTGGCAAGAGAAGCTCATCTAAGACATAAAGCAAACTACCTGGACAGTCTGACAAACAAGCTAATTGCCAGAATTAATTTATAGTGAACAATCTGAGACACAAAGCAAACTGATGGGTCAGTGGCAGCAGCACAAGTGGATGGGGCTTCATCATAAAAGCATGGGGAGAAGATGATTGGGGAAAGCTTGGCATGTGACATCACATCCTGCATCATAAGCAAATTGCCAGAATTAATCTATAGTGAACAATCTGAGACATAAAGCAAACTGCCTGGACAGTCTGACAAACAAGCAAATTGCCAGAATTAATCTATAGTGAACAATCTGAGACATAAAGCAAACTGCCTGGACAGTCTGACAAACAAGCAAATTGCCAGAATTAATCTATAGTGAACAATCTGAGACATAAAGCAAACTGCCTGGACAGTCTGACAAACAAGCAAATTGCCAGAATTAATCTATAGTGAACAATCTGAGACATAAAGCAAACTGCCTGGACAGTCTGACAAATAAGCAAATTGCCAAAATTAATTTATAGTGAACAATCTGAGACACAAAGCAAACTGCCTGGACAGTCTGACAAACAAGCAAATTGCCAGAATTAATCTATAGTGAACAATCTGAGACACAAAGCAAACTGCCTGGACAGTCTGACAAATAAGCAAATTGCCGAAATTAATTTATAGTGAACAATCTGAGACACAAAGCAAACTGCCTGGACAGTCTGACAAATAAGCAAATTGCCAAAATTAATTTATAGTGAACAATCTGAGAAATAAAGCAAACTGCCTGCATTAATCTGTACTAGACAATCTGAGAGATGAAGCAAAACTGCCTGCACTAATCTATACTAGACAATCTTAGAGATAAAGCAAACTGCCTGCACTAATCTATACTAGACAATCTTAGAGATAAAGCAAACTGCCTGCACTAATCTATACTAGACAATCTGAGAAATGAAGCAAACTGCCTGCACTAATCTATACTAGAAAATCTAAGAAATGAAGCAAACTGACTGCACTATTCTATACTAGACAATCTGAGAAATAAAGCAAACTGCCTGCACTAATCTATACTAGACAATCTGAGAAATGAAGCAAACTGCCTGCAATAATCTATACTAGACAATCTGAGAAATGAAGCAAACTGCCTGCAATAATCTATACTAGACAATCTGAGAAATGAAGCAAACTGCCTGCAATAATCTATACTAGACAATCTGAGTAATTAGGCGAGTCCACCTCCTCTTTTACTTTTGATGTTGAGGGTGATATAAAGTTCTTCTTCTCGCTTTTTAGGCCGCCACGACCACAGACACATCGTGCTGATGTAGAGATTCTCTGATCTTACACTGTGCTGCTCTAGAGATTCTTTGATGTTATCTTTCAATAGGGATCTTGATCTACCTCATGGTTTACATCCTTCCCTCTTAGTGTATGTCTTGTATGGTCTCGTGTCAAAATGCATTCTAAGTGGGCAAACCATTTGATTTGCTGTCACTGTATGTCTGAGTGGCGTCCAGAATATAATGCATCACATTTTTTTTCTCAGCTAATAATGAAGACAGATGCACGAAATTTGGCAGATTTCAAATATGGCATGTGGCAATTATGTGTTCCAAACTGTACAACAACTGGCTAAATAATGAGCTTTCCTAAACCATTGAAATGGAGCATGTTAGCAACTTGCATTATGAGCCAGGCTGGGAGACCTGAACATTTTGTGATAAAACTGTTTATGGTGAATGTTTTGTTGAGTTTTCCTGGACTGTCTGTGATTGTTGCAGTGTTCGATCGAGATCATGAAATAGACACTTGCACTATATACTAATATGCCACCCTTCATTTAGCATGCATCACTGGACTAGATGTATTATGGAGAAATGTTGAAAAGGCATCATTTTACAAAATGAAGGATATTTTATGCAATCTTTCTTTGTCAATTCAGATGGAAAAAAAAATTCTTAAAAGCTACATGAATTCTATGTTGACATACGGATGTATATGTAAGTGAATTAGTGGAAACATATTTGGAAGCCGAGGAGATGTGGTTTTATAGACGAATGTTCAGATTACCCTGGACAGATAAAAAGAGTAATAAAGACGTCTTGAAAGATACCGACTCACAAAGAGAACTCACTGCCCACATCAGGGGGAGACAATCTACATTCTTTGTTCAAGTTTTGAGAAGGAGAAACCTGGAGTACATCATGGAGATAAGAAAGATGGAGGGGAGAAGAGGCAGAGAGAGACCGAAAGAACAGATGCTGGACAGTTTGACATCATGGCATGGAATATCATCTGTGTCAGAGTTGATTAAAAGTACACAAGACAGAAGGCTGTGGATAGACATGACTACCAATGCTCCACGGTATGGACTATGAAAGATTATCTGTTTCAGAGTTGATTGAAAGTACACAAGACAGAAGGCTGTGGATAGACATGACTACCAATGCTCCACGGCATGGACTATGGAAGATCATCTGTATCAGAGTTGATTAAAAGTACACAAGACAGAAGGCTATGGATAGACATGACTACCAATGCTCCACGGCATGGACTATGGAAGATCATCTGTGTCAGAGTTGATTGAAAGTACACAAGACAGAAAGTTGTGGATAGACATGACTACCAATGCTCCACGGCATAGACTATGGAAGATCATCTGTGTCAGAGTTGATTTAAAGTACACAAGACAGAATCTGGTAATCCTAGTTTCAGCTTCATAGCAAACGGGTCACCCCATAGTTGCTCCGCTCCTGTGCCAACGAAAAACACATGTAGCTCACAGTGTCACACCATGCACTCAACTCAGAAGCTGGGCGATGAAACTATATGCTTCCAGTCTACAAATGGAGCAAAAATGTGACGCCCACCGCCTGGCAGAAGTAAAAAAAAAAACATTTGTCACGGCTGAAAAAAAAAAAAGTGGCCGTGCCTAGCGTCCATTTTGACCTGAAGCATTATGTAAGGGTTAATAAATGGTCGCCCCAGCAGTACTCTCACTATTAGCTGAGAAAGGGACTTAGGACATTACATCCATCAGCAGGCGTCGTCCCTACAACGACCTGACTGCCTTCATTAACGACTGTTCACCCAACAGCCATGTAGTTCTTTGGCACGAAGGAGACACCTTGAACTTGGGTTTTGGAATGCCGGCTTCCTACAAAATGTTATTTTGTGTTTTGTTTACACAATAGACGTCACTGCACATTGGGCACACCCATGCGTGTGCAGTCACACAAGACAGAAGATTGTGGATAGACATGACTACCAATGCTACACGGCATGGACTATGGAAGATCATCTGTGTCAGAGTTGATTGAAAGTACACAAGACAGAAGGTTGTGGATAGACATGACTACCAATGCTCCACGGCATGGACTTTTAAGAAGAAATACTACCCCATCCACCCTAAAGTTGTGATCTGAGACCCTCTAATTTTCATCTGTTTGCTTCACATAAAGAACAGTTACCCAACAGAAAATGTGCTGCATTCATTTCTTAATGCCCCTGGTAATTTATCATTGGTTCTGTGCCAACTTTGTCTCTTGTGACCTCATTCCTGCATTTTTTTAAATCTCTTTTGGTCACTTCCGCAACACTTCTCAGACACCTCATTTCCATGGTTATTCATTTTCTTTTGTTTTGTTGAGAGTGACCATGTCTGGCATTGGTAGCACAGAGCGGAAATGAATAAGCTTTGTATGTTTGTGCTGATTGGGATTGACTCAAGCTGTAAGAGGGGGCTAGCTGTCCCAACATTTGGTTTATTTACAGCACTAAAATATTATTGTCTTCATTAAACTGACCACCTTCGGTGAATGCTATTCCCAGTTCCACTCTGATGCCTGTTTGAAGCCTTTGCACTTGACTTCTATAATCAGGTTCTGCTTTTTTCCTTCCTGACATCATTTCCATCTTTTCAATGTTGATTCTCATATTGTTTTTTTTTTGCATTCATTCATGGATAGGAAATATTGCATTACAGAACAGTTATCTGCTACCAAAAGTTTGGTCATCAGCAAAAAGTAATGAAGCAAACTGCCTATATTAATCGACACTAGACAATCCAACAGTAAATAAACTGCCTGTTTCAGTTTATATCAAACATTCTAGCAGATAAAGTTAACAAAATGTCTGATCAATGCTGGACAATATATCACCTGTATAATTTATACTGTATGATGCTGCAAGTTAAAACAAATTACCTGTTTTGATACATACTAGAGAATCTAGCAAGCAATGCTAACTACCTGTTTTGATACATACTAGAGAATCTAGCAAGCAATGCTAACTACCTGTTTCAGTACATACTAGAGAATCTAGCAAGCAATGCTAACTACCTGTTTCAGTACATACTAGAGAATCTAGCAAGCAATGCTAACTACCTGTTTCAGTACATACTAGAGAATCTAGCAAGCAATGCTAACTACCTGTTTCAGTACATACTAGAGAATCCAGCAAACAAAGCAAATCACCTGTATGGATTCATAATAGATTAAACTTAAAAATAAAGAAACATCTCATCTCAAAATGCTTACTTGTGATCTTTCTGCTGGAATTCTTTAACACTCCACAACATCAGAGCTCTGTCTAAATAACATCAGGGATATTAACAATCTCACACTTACACATACACTCTCTGTCTAAATAACATAAGGGATATTAACAATCTCACACTTACACATACACTCTCTGTCTAAATAACATCAGGGATATTAACAATCTCACACTTACACATACACTCTCTGTCTAAATAACATCAGGGATATTAACAATCTCACACTTACACATACACTCTCTGTCTAAATAACATCAGGGATATTAACAATCTCACACTTACACATACACTCTCTGTCTAAATAACATCAGGGATATTAACAATCTCACACTTACACTCTCTGTCTAAATAACATCAGGGATATTAACAATCTCACACTTACACTCTCAGTTTACAAAACAGACATCAGGGATATGTACAATCTCACACTTACTCATACACTCTCTGTCTAAATAACATCAGGGATATTAACAATCTCACACTTACTCATACACTCTCTGTCTAAATAACATCAGGGATATTAACAATCTCACACTTACACATACACTCTCTGTCTAAATAACATCAGGGATATTAACAATCTCACACTTACTCATACACTCTCTGTCTAAATAACATCAGGGATATTAACAATCTCACACTTACACATACACTCTCTGTCTAAATAACATCAGGGATATTAACAATCTCACACTTACTCATACACTCTCAGTTTAAAAAACAGACATAAAGAATATCTACAATTTCACACTTACACATACACTCTCAGTTTAAAAAACAGACATAAAGAATATCTACAATTTCACATACACACATAACTCTCAGTTTACAAAACAGACATAAAGAATATCTACAATTTCACATACATACATAACTCTCAGTTTAAAAAACAGACATAAAGAATATCTACAATCTCACACTTACACATAAACTCTCAGTTTACAAAACAGACATAAAGAATATCTACAATCTCACACTTGCACATAAACTCTCAGTTTACAAAACAGACATAAAGAATATCTACAATTTCACATACACACATAACTCTCAGTTTACAAAACAGACATAAAGAATATCTACAATCTCACACTTACACTCTCAGTTTACAAAACAGACATAAAGAATATCTACAATTTCAAATACACACATAACTCTCAGTTTACAAAACAGACATAAAGAATATCTACAATCTCACACTTACACTCTCAGTTTACAAAACAGACATAAAGAATATCTACAATTTCACATACACACATAACTCTCAGTTTAAAAAACAGACATAAAGAATATCTACAATTTCACATACACAAATAACTCTCAGTTTAAAAAACAGACATAAAGAATATCTACAATTTCACATACACACATAACTCTCAGTTTACAAAACAGACATAAAGAATATCTACAATCTCACACTTACACTCTCAGTTTACAAAACAGACATAAAGAATATCTACAATTTCACATACACACATAACTCTCAGTTTACAAAACAGACATAAAGAATATCTACAATTTCACATACACACATAACTCTCAGTTTACAAAACAGACATAAAGAATATCTACAATTTCACATATACACATAACTCTCAGTTTAAAAAACAGACATAAAGAATATCTACAATTTCACATACACACATAACTCTCAGTTTAAAAAACAGACATAAAGAATATCTACAAATTCACATACACACATAACTCTCAGTTTACAAAACAGACATAAAGAATATCTACAATCTCACACTTACACTCTCAGTTTACAAAACAGACATAAAGAATATCTACAATTTCACATACACACATAACTCTCAGTTTAAAAAACAGACACGAAAAATATTAACAATCTCACATACACACATAACTCTCAGTTTAAAACATGAAAATAGGGACCAGACTTTACCCAGTCTTGCTAACAGGTTCTGGTAGTCACCAGTTGCCATCTCACATAATCACCATACAAAATACAGATTCTACATATTATAAATACAACATACAGGTTCTTTATATTGTCCATATTTCACATATATTCAACATATAGGTTCTATATATTGCCCATGTTTCACATACAGGTTCTATATACTGTCCATGTTTCACACACATAGAACACACAGTTTCTATATACTGTGAATGTTTCACATCATCATCATCAAGTGCCATGCAGACTTGCATGTGTGTGGTCATGCCTCTCCACAATCTGCAGCCGCATGTATCAGTTTGTGGACTGACACCCCCTCCATGCCATGGCAAATGAATATCAAGAATCTTTTCAGGCTGTCTTCCTTTCCACAGATCTTTCCAGTGTACACAAGATATTCCAGTTTCCCTTTTCTCATAGCATGACCAAAAATGATGACTGTCTCTTTCTGATGTTTGTGATAAGTTGTCTTCAAGCTCAAGAAATTGTTCGACTTGTTTATTAATAGTCTAGTATCCACAGCCATATATTAAAACTGGCTCTATAAAGTTCCAATGACATGGATTTATTGCAAAAATGTGCCTCTCTTTATAAAATGCAGTTTTGGCCTGTCCTATTCTGTTCTTTATCTCTGTGATACATCTTCCATCAGATGTTAACCCTACCAGACCGCTGGCCCGGTTTCCCGAGAATTTCATAACTGTTCTCCATATCGCTGGCCCTACTTTTCTGCTATTTGCATAGTGCATGAGAAAGATGCATCACTGACTAAAATTAACCAACCAATCATCGTCAGTCCGCTTTGTTAGACATTGCAAATGGCTTCCCCGTGTGTGTGAATCAATTTTGTGTGTTTTAACCTGAAAAATTTCAGAAAATTCAGAATTAAGCGAGCTGCTGATGAACCAAGTTCTAGGCTTTTCACAGTCCAACAGGTAATCGATACTTTGGTTTATCCAGACTCTGTGATATATATATATATATATATATATATATATATATATATATATATATATATATATATATATATATATATATATATATATATATATATATATATTCATTATCTGTCATAATTTCATAAAGAATACGTTCTTGAAGTGACACTGTCAGTGAGAGCGCGAATGATTAGGAAAATCTTGAAAATTATCCATTTTGAAATAGATCGATAGTAGGAGAAGTGGGTGTGTCCATCAAACGGCAACATCTGGTGTTCACTTTGTGAAACAAAGTTGATCCTGATGAGTGAATTCACACACAAGGTGGAATATTGGCGCTAGATAAAAGGTAAGCCTATTTTCTACAATGTCTCTAAGTTTCATCATTTTCTAGCCACTCGTTTGCATGTAGCTAATATTTTTGTAGATCATGTTGGTTTTTCGCGGTAATGCCCAGGAGCTCAGGTTATAGGGACAGTTAGGTTCAGGGCCTTAGGTCTGGTAGAGTTAACCATGTGCCTAGATACTTAAATTTGTGAAGCCTTTGACTTTAATCATACATTTAGGCACTATTCTTTTCTTGGAAATCTGTACTTGTGTTTTACAATTATTAAATCTGTGGCACCTGTTATCACTTGCCACCACCACCATATCTATCAGTGACTGTAGTTCTTTATCAATTGTGGCTATCGAGACACATTTTGGTTTTTCGCGGTAATGCCCAGGAGCTCAGGTTATAGGGACAGTTAGGTTCAGGGCCTTAGGTCTGGTAGAGTTAACCATGTGCCTAGATACTTAAATTTGTGAAGCCTTTGACTTTAATCATACATTTAGGCACTATTCTTTTCTTGGAAATCTGTACTTGTGTTTTACAATTATTGAAACTGTGGCACCTGTTATCACTTGCCACCACCACCATATCTATAAGTGACTGTAGTTCTTTATCAATTGTGGCTATCGAGACAGTGTCATCAGCATAAGGTCAGTTATTTATTGGATGACCCCCAACCATAATTCCTGGCACATCCATTATAGATCTCATTAATTATTCACTCTTTAATCAACACAAATCAGGTGATTGTACACATCCTTGTCTTGCTCCTTCACTATGCTCTGAAATGTTCCCAAATGGTTATTAAATCCTATAGCTGCTGTTTGTTGCCAATACGTGTTCTTTATAACTCCACCAATGTTCAACTTTTCCAGTAGTTTGATTATTTCATGTTTCGCATAAGCAAATCTTTTTGTACGGTCAATGAAGCATATGTGAAGATCATTTTTTTTTAATTGCTACAGCTCCTTCAAAAAAAAAAAAAAAAAAAAGTCCTTAGGATGTATATGGCATTTCCTTCTACAAATCCATTGTTCTTCACCAATTTCAGGTTGACTTTTTTTCCCCATTCTTCTCAGTTATTCTTAGTAAAAAAATTTCACATGATTACCACACAAAATAAAGATTCTATATACTGTCTATGTTTCACATACATACAACATAAATGTTCTGTATACTGTCCATGTTTTATATAAACACAACAGGTTCTATATAATGTCCATGTTTCACATACATACAGGTTCTATATACTGACCATGTTTCACATACGTACAGGTTCTATATACTGCCCACGTTTCACATACATACATGTTCTATATACTGATCATGTTTCACATACATACAGGTTCTATATACTGCCCATACATACAGCTTCTATATACTGCCCATGTTTCACATACACACAGTTTCTATATACTGCCCATACATACAGGTTCTATATACACCCATGTTTCACATACATACAGGTTCTATATACTGCCCTTGTTTCACATACACACAGGTTCTATATACTGCCCGTGTTTCACATACACACAGGTTCTATATACTGCCCATATATACAGGTTCTATATACTGCTCATGTTTCACATACATATAGGTTCTATATGCTGCCCATGTTTCACATACCTACAGGTTCTATATACTGCCCACGTTTCACATACACATAGTTTTTATATACTGCCCATGTTTCACATACGTACAGGTTCTATATACTGCCCACGTTTCACATACATACATGTTCTATATACTGCCCATGTTTCACATACATACAGGTTCTATATACTGCCCATACATACAGCTTCTATATGCTGCTCATGTTTCACATACACATAGGTTCTATATACTGCCCATGTTTCACATACATACATGTTCTATATACTGCCCATGTTTCACATACGTACAGGTTCTATATACTGCCCACGTTTCACGTACATACAGGTTCTACCCATCCAGCATTGTCTCCCTCTGTCGCTGACATCTTTGACCTTCTCAGCTGAAACAATTTTCTCCAGGCCTCTCGCCTTTTGATATTACGATAAAATATGCATCTGTTCCGAAACTGGTCATCTGGTGAACAGGTCTCTTGAAGTACTCAGATCTGGACTCCCACATACTCCAAACACTCTTGAAGTACTCAGATCTGGACTCCCACATACTCCAAACACTCTTGAAGTACTCAGATCTGGACTCCCACATACTCCAAACACTCTTGAAGTACTCAGATCTGGACTCCCACATACTCCAAACACTCTTGAAGTACTCAGATCTGGACTCCCACATACTCCAAACACTCTTGAAGTACTCAGATCTGGACTCCCACATACTCCAAACACTCTTGAAGTACTCAGATCTGGACTCCCACATACTCCAAACACTCTTGAAGTACTCAGATCTGGACTCCCACATACTCCAAACACTCTTGAAGTACTCAGATCTGGACTCCCACATACTCCAAACACTCTTGAAGTACTCAGATCTGGACTCCCACACACTCCAAACACTCTTGAAGTACTCAGATCTGGACTCCCACACACTCCAAACACTCTTGAAGTACTCAGATCTGGACTCCCACACACTCCAAACACTCTTGAAGTACTCAGATCTGGACTCCCACACACTCCAAACACTCTTGAAGTACTCAGATCTGGACTCCCACATACTCCCAACACTCTGAGGTTTTAAAAAAAAAAGGTATTCTTTTGTATAAATAAACAAGGCAAAAAAATGACACATAAATCAAATAATACCTTCAGACGCAGAAATCATATACTTCCCATTGGGGCTGAAGTCCAGTGCCACAATACGACTACTATGACCTTTGAGTGTACTCGACAGCCAGGCATGGGAAAATGGGACATGTGCTGCCTTCTTGGTTGCTTTCACTGCAGTTTTCTGTACTTTCTTGCCATGTTCTGCTCTGTCACCACTAGAAGCTTCCTCTGCCTTGCTTGACTTATTGTCTTCTGCAAAAGAGACCCAAACAATGTACATACTGGTAAAACAAAGGGACAACGTGCATATGATACATTAGGTTTTCCTCTACACCTGTATTACTATTGTTAGCACTCTTGCAGTTGTGTCACATAAAATTGTACAGCCTCAGCCTATCATTACTCTTCCATTTACAGATGATGACCTCCAACTGGCCAGTCAAAGAAGCTGCAATCTTGCCTGTCTGCCTACAGAACATGACTATGCCCAGCCATACAAAGAGTCTTCCAAACATGTAGACATTAGAAATGTCTGCCTACAGAACAGGACTATGCCTAGCTGTACATGTTTGAGGACAGAAAGCATGAATCACCACCACTTGAAAAACATGTCAAAGGCAACTAATTAGGACTCTGCTAAAATCTGATGAGTTGGGGCCAAAGGCGCACAAATCGCAGCCTAGCTGTAAACTACATCACAACGTGCCTGTTAAGGGCTAATAATTATCAGCTGGCATGTAATCGAACACCGATCACCCCCGTGACAGGCAATATATTTACAATTAGGCTATTCTCCGAATAACAGTCCCAAATTATCGGCCAAAAATATACCCTAACAGGGCCTCAGTCACGTGTCAATTGCGTACTTCCGGGGACTTTACCGCCACCGCCGAATTGTGAACTTCTGGGGACTATATTGCCACCGCTGAGAGTATCCCCCACGCCGCTCACGCGGCGTAAATTGGGGCTAAACTAGATGGCTGGGACTCACGAGTAAATAAAATGAAGAAAGCTGACGGAGAAGCGGTAGCTGCTGCTCGTGAGTCCCAGCCATCTAGTTAAGCACCAATCCATGCTGCGTGAGCGGCATGGGGGATACTCTCGGTGGTGGCGGAAGTGCGCAATTTAAGTCGCCAGAAGTACGCAATTGACACGTGACTGAGGCTCTTTTAGGGTATATTTTCCGCCTCGATAATTTGGGGCCGTTATTCAGAGGATAGCCTTCAATTGTACTACCAAAGACTAGAGAATTTGGGTATCCCATGAAATTATATCTTAACCTAAAGCTTATTTCATAGTGTTTTTAATCCAGATTTGTAACTATATGACCTCTTGAGGCCCTGAATAAGATTTTTTGGCTTTCCTTTAAATAACGGTCGCTAGCTGGAAAGCCGACGGTCACTTAGTCGGAGTTCACTCCCTTGGCTGCATTGCAAATACGGAGTGGAAAAGTCACGAATCAATAACAAGGTCAACATGGCAGTTAGACATCGAGCTCCGACTCACATTAGCACCCACGTTCCTGCGACGCATGACTTAGTTGCCACGGATGTGACTCCTGCAGATCTGTATGCCTTAATGACCGATAAGTTTGCGTGGTTAGGGTTTGGGTTAGGGTCCGATGTGATATTTGGGCACCAGCCGCGCGCTATTGCCGTCATATTTAGGAGAATTCCAGTGGTGCCACTGCCACAAGCATCAGATTGTCGGCCATTATTTGGAACTCCTGCGTCAACATATTCACATCTAACCCAAACCCTAACTCTACCTCTAACCCAAACCCTAACTCTACTCTTAACCCTAACTCTACCCCTAACCCAAACTCTACTCCTAACCCAAACCCAAACTCTACCCCTAACCCTACTCCTAACCCAAACCCTAACTCTACCCCTAACCCAAACTCTACTCCTAACCCAAACCCTAACTCTACCCCTAACCCAAACTGACACCCTAACCCTACTCCTAACCCAAACTCTACCCCTAACCTTAACCCACACCCTACCCCTAATCCAAACCGACACCATAACCCTACATCCTACGCAACCGTATGATGATAGTTAATTATGTAATTTGTTTCGTTCCCTCTTTACGTTCCGTATTTGCAATGCAGCCAAGGGAGTGAACTCCGACTAAGCGACTGTCGGCTTTCCAGCTAGCGACCGTTATTTAAAGGAGAGCCGATTTTTTAAACAATGAATAATTTGGCACCCGTATTCGGAAAAGTGCCTACTGTTATATACTTCAGCCTTGTAGCTTTCTCTTTTTTTTAATGAAATGATTTACTGATTGTTCATTATAATTTCTAAGTCAGAGTAAAATCAAGGAGATGGAGAAGAGGGATGATGAACATCATCATCAGAGTAAAGTCCGACAGCACACACCTGCTCGCCACGTTTGCATTCGTCCATGCAGGCAACACGTTTGAATGTTCCTGGGACATCATGGTCATCTGCAGACTGACAAGGCGGCCTACAGGCAAGGTGGAAATGGTACAGTAGAATAAATATTTGATCTTTCATTCATTCGACGGCAGAGAGTAGACCGCATACTAATTATGTACTTAGTTTCAGTTAAATTTTTAAAGATATTTTTCTCTGACAAGTTGCTTCTATTAGAATCTGTTAGCATTGGTATTTTAATATTTTTTAAAGTCCAGAAACAATGAACAGTAAAGCTAGGATTTACCTCCATCGTTCTTGCCTGCCCTGTCACGTCGGATAACATTGCATAGAAGGGCAAAGAGTAAAACAATGGCCCCAACCGCAGCAGTGACTGCCATCACCGGCAAGGAAGCCGCCTCGTCTGCTGCCATTGTTGCCACCTCTTCTGTCTGTTGCAGTGTTGCCACTTTTCTTTGACAAAAAATATCCAAAACGGTATCAAAAAATATCTAAATCTGCGTGGAAAAGATCTAGAAAAAACATCCAAATTTAAAAAGTCAAAAATTATAAAGCTTTTGTTATGACTTACCATACATAATCATGTCCTCGCCTTCATTGATGTCTGCCTCACAAGATCCACAGGATAAATTTAGCTTGGATAATGAAGTCGAAGCTTCAGATCCAAAATGACCCTGGTATGCTTTAGCTGTTCAAATTTCTTTATAAGTGGAACAGTAGGCTTTTTTAGTCTCATCAGGCCGAATTTTAATGGCACGATAGCATTTAAGAGGTTAAATTTCACCCTGTTTTTTAGGTTAGATTTGATATAATTCCTAGCACTGAAAACTCTTTCTACGTCAGCATTTGAGTGGGGTAGTATCATGGCAGACATGGCACTTTAAAGAGCTTGTAGAATTGACTGTTTGGTGAGGCATCTTTAAATTGTCTCACTTCAATCGCTGAGGCATTATCAGTACCAATTACAGCCAAATTCTTCAAGCCTAACTGTTTGCTGAATAAAAGGTCCTTCAGTTCCTAAACTATACTTTCTACATCACACTTTTCAAATTGAAATAGTCATGACTCTTTGAGTTTTGTATTTTCGCTTTAATTTCACACTTGCAGTACTTACAACAAGCTTTGGTCATATCCCCAGTTTTTAATTTTGTCATCATGCAACCATTCTTTCCAAATTTTGTGCTCATACTTTACTTTTGGCATGTTGAAAGATTTTTTCAAAGTGAAAGCGACATAAGAAGGTGAGCAATTATTTTTTTAAAAATCACATGAAAAAGAAACGCAAAGTCAGCACAGTGAGGATACGGTTGAAACAAAGTTAGTATTGGATTGGATTGGATTTTTTTACCCCACCAGGACATCACACAAGCGATAAACCCCCGATGACACGAAGTGCCACCATGCGGATGAGGATCACCGTGGAGAGGTCCCAGAAACCGCGTTCAGACATTTGGCCATAATGATGACCTGCCTATATTGCGGCCCCTGGCAAAAGCCAGAGTGGGGCTTCAAATAACAAAAAATAACGTCCTAAGAAGGACGAAAAGAAGCCATATATAACAAAGTTAGTATGATTTACGCGCGTTTTTATTAATCAGTACCGGGGCTGCCAGATATTTGTGCGTTGACCCCAGTGAGCGTTCAAAGTTCAAGTAATGGCAGTTGTCACAATGTACGTGCCAGACCAAAACAAAATTATTGTAGTGAATATTTTACACAGTAATTATTAAATTGACAATAAAAGAAAAAAAAATCTATAAAATATCTAACTCCATATGAAAATTATCAAGAAAAATATTTAGGATCTAAACGTCAAAAACAGTATCTAAATGCAATGAAAAAGATCTAAATTTGGATATAAAAGATCCAAAGTGGCAACACTGGTCTGTTGCAGTGTTGCCACTTTTCTTTGACAAAAAATATCCAAAACGGTGTCATAAAATATCTAAAAAGATCTAAATCTGCGTGGAAAAGATATAGAAAAAACATCCAAATTGAAAAAGTCAAAAATTACATAGTTTTTGTTACGACTTACCATACATAATCATGTCTCATATTCACTGATGTCTGCCTCACAAGATCCACAGGATAAACAGCTTGGATAATGAAGTTGAAGCTTCAGATCCAAAATGACCCTGGTATGCTTTAGCTGTTCAAATTTCGTTATGTGAAATAGTAGGCTTATTTCCCTAGTCTCATCAGGCCGAATTTTAATGGCACGATAGCATTTAAGAGGTCACATTTCATCCTGTTTCTTAGGTTAGATTTGATATAATTCCTAGCACTGAAAACTCTTTCTACGTCAGCATTTGAGTGGGGTAGTATCATGGCAGACATGGCACTTTTAAAGAGCTTACAGGATGGACTGTTTGATGAGGAATCTTTAAATTGTCTCACTTCACTTCAAAACGCTTAAGTTTCTGTTTTGTTTGTCCATTCAGCTAACTTTATTTTGGTTAACTGATATTCTGCTTCCGCGACACTATTATCAGCAGCCCCTAAAAATTTCATAACTTTACAATATTTAGGTATGTCGTTTATTGGCTGAAGATGGGCAGAAAAAAAGTGAAATATTTTTCAAAACATCTAGATTTTCAGGAAGTCTCTGCTTCAGTTGCTTCAATAATGAGATAAGGAAATCTTGACAGCGTTTTCTTAAGTTTTTCTCTTCGTTGTCTCTTAACAGTCCTTTTGTTTTTAAATCATCAATTTTTGATTCGATTTAATATCCAAGGTGTGGCTTAGGAGCCAAATAGCTCTCTATAGTGCAAGTGAGCAAATCAGCTTTAGAAGTTGGCAACACCAGTCTTTTACCAACTGAGTGAAATAGCAAAGTAAGATCATAAAGTAATTTAACTTTATCAACAAGTTTAGATTCGAACAGTTTATTAACGTTTTGCACTTCCATTAGAATAGGTTATAAAAAGAGCACCTTACCTTACTTTTGGCATGTTGAAAGAATCTTTTAAAGTGAAAGCCACATATGAAGGTGAGCAATCATTTTTTTTTTATTACATGAAAAAGAAACACAGTCAGCACAGTGAGGATACGGTTGAAACAAAGTTAGTATGATTTACGCGCGTTTTTATTAATCAGTACCGGGGCTGCCAGATATTTGTGCGTTGGCCCCAGTGAGAGTTCAAAGTTCAAGTATTGGCAGTTGTCACAATGTACGTGCCAGACCAAAACAAAAATATTGTAGTAAAAAATTTTACACAGTAATTATTAAATTGACACTGAAAGAAAAAAAATCTATAAAATATCTAACTCCATATGAAAAGATCTAGAAAAATATTTAGGATCTAAATGTCAAAAACAGGATCTAAATGCAATGAAAAAGATCTAAATTTGGATATAAAAGATCCAAAGTGGCAACACTGGTCTGTTGGTGTTGTCCAGGGCGGTATCAGATACTGCGTTCTCTTGTCAGTACGATACCGAGTAGAGTAAAATGTCCTAAAATCGATTCACGCATTTATTAATTCAAGATCATTCAAGAAAAGATATAAAAGCAACGAAAAGTATACCGGCAAGCTTCACAATATAACAAACGCAAACAAAACGTGAATGTTACGGCTATGAAGCCTTCATCAGCATATACATAAATCAAACAATAGCACACAAATACACACAATCACTTCTTCTTCTTCTGCGTTCGACATCAGTCATGCTAAACATTGAGTCCCGTCTGGGTCAAAAATAGAATTGTGCGTTTAAGGTCGCCACAGGTCCCCCATAGCTTCTCTCGCAATGTGGATCTCCTGGGCCAGATCCACAGTCTTTGCTGGGAGAGGTAAGGGCAGTGCTGCAGTATGTGTTCAGGGGTTTGTCTTTCTGCTCCACAATCACAGGCAGCAGTTTCTTTTATGCCTATCCTGTACAGGCGTGCTCTAAGACCACAGTGTCCAGCCCTAAGTCTAAAAATTGATGTTTGTTTTTTCCTGTTGAATTTGTTTATGCTGTCACTCTCTGGTCTGTAATCTCCATTCTGCCTTCTCCACTCCCGCTTGAAAGACTGCTTTAGCGCTGTTTTGATTTCCTTGTAGCTGTGTGGTGGAAGATTACTCCCAGCTTTTGCCAACTCATCTGCTGTCTCATTTCCTTGAATACCACAGTGGGCTGGTATACACTGCAAGACCAGTTCTGCTTCCTTGGAGAGTAAGCCATTGTTGGTCCTTAGATCTGCAATTAGTTTGTCTTGTTTTTTGCTTGATAGTGCTTGGAGAACAGACAATGAGTCACTAAGTATAACAATTGTGTGCCCTCTGTGTTCTTGGGTGATGAGATGTTGGACTGCAGAAAGGAGGGCAGTTGCCTCAGCTCTGAAGTTAGTGCAGATGTCTCCTGCTGGTAGAGAGAGCGTTTCTGCTCTACTGCTAGGGGGTTTAATGTAAATTCCACCCCCCCCCCCTTTTCCGACTGCATCTGCAGCAGAGCCGTCGGTGAAAACCTGAGTCCAAGTGGTGTTTGGATACTTCTCATCAAGCATAGCAAGAGCCAAAGTTCTCTGTTCTGTCTCCGTCTGGGCATCTTTTGAAGTGATCCCTGGTAGCTTTAGAACTACATTTGCCTTCTCTGGCTTGCTTGTCCATGGTTCTAGACTAAGTTTTTCGCACAGTGTTAAATCTCTTTCAAGCAGATCTCGGTGCTGTCTGTACAGTTCTCTAGCAAGGTGGTTGGGGCTCTGACGCTTCAGTCTGTTTTTTGTTCTCTCTTGGAATTTAAAATGCAGTGGGTCACTTTGAAGTCTTTTTAATTTCTCATACTGTAAAAGAGTATTGTATTGTCTTCTGAGTTCGAGTGGTTCAGTATCTGCTATCCTCTCTATCTCTCTGATGGGGGTGTTCATGGCTCCGAGAACAATCCTTAATCCCATATTCTGAACCTTGTCCAGTTTTCCCATTGTTGTCTTGGCTGCTGCAGCCCATGCAGTGGAGGCATATTCCATGACTGGCCTGACTGCTCCAGTATATACTTGTTTTAGGATTCTGGAGTTAGCGCCCCGTGTGGTACCCGCTAATTTTTTCATCACTGCAAGCTTCTTGAATGCTTTCCCCTGTACTGCTTCTACGTGTGACTTCCAAGTTAGTCGCGAATCAAGTGTAACGCCAAGAAAGGTAGGAGTGTCAGTCTGTGGAATGAGCTGGTTTTTTATCCAAATTTCAAAAACAATTTTTTTTTGGGGGGGGGGGGGGGGGGGGGGGGGGGGGGGGGGGGGGGGGAAGAGAAAAGTGATGAAGTGCTTTTTGAATTATTCAGCTTTAGATCCCACTTTTACAAAATCACTAAAGCTTAGAATCTCGAAGCAGCCAAGTTGATTACTTGACAGTGGACTGACGTATTTTTAGTAGACAAACGAGAAACGTGGGGCAGGAGAATGAAAACTACCGGTGAATTCCAGGAGCCGTGACTG